GTCCTCGTACCAGCGTTAGTCAAGTCAAGTCACAGTCTGTTTTGCTCCTCGACCTTGTTTCTGTTTTTTGGACCTTGCCTTTTTGCCTGTTGGACTGAATTCCTGTGTACTGAACCCTGCCTGTCATTAAACCTGTCTTTTGCCTGAACCCATTCTGTGTCGCGCATTTGTGTCCACCTGTCTGTCATCAGTGAGTTCATGACAATGCATGGAAAGATGGATCAGTGGATGTTTAGACATGATGTTTTTCTTACCTCACTAAGTCTGCAGCATTCATCCATATACTCCTTGAGGCTTTCGGTGGTTGCATTTGGTCTTACAGGGTTTGACTCAAAGTCATCGCTCATTATTTCATCACAGGATCTCATTGAGGATTGTATCCCAGGCTTAATATCCTCTGAGCAGGTCCATGGAGTTACAGCACTGTTCACTTCAAGCTGTTCAGATTTCTCCTGATCTCCTTTAAGGCTGGTTTTGAAAGTTCTGCACTGGTTCACGTTCTGACCTGTGTGCATTCTGGCTGTCACAACTGAATGACTGACTTTGTCTGTGAACACATTGTCCTGAGTGTCCGCTGTGATCACACTGTTATCCATTGAATCTGTTGCCTGTTTAATATCAGAGTTCTTTAAATGTGTGACGAGTTTACTGGGAGGACTTGTAGAGTCAGAGTTGCAGGAGTCACATGAGGACTCTCGACTGTGGACCACGAAGCTCTGCTCAGAACCTGTTGGGGTGGATGGAGAGTTAGCTCCACTGGGCAGGTCCACTCCGGAGTCCTCCGACTCAAACTTGTACAACCTCGGGAGCTGAGACTTGGAAAAAATGTCAGACAGGTAATCTGAGGCGGACTCCATCTGAAGCTGTCCGCACTTATCATTTAGGTGGAAATTCACCTTGGAGGCATCGGTGAGGTCCGAGAGGTCCTGGTCAGAACCTGACACTGTTGAGCTGGTGAACACGGAGTCGTCGGCGATCAGGAGCCTCTCGTGAAAGTTGCTGAAGAGCTTCACTTTTGTTAGGACAACCTCACTGTCCAGTACTTCATCTCTGCCTCCTTTCCCTGTTAGACAGACAAAAAACATGCACATTTATTCTCATAGCTCCATTTAACAAATCTTTTAATATTATGTGTTTAGAAAATGTCTCAAGCATTTTCTGAAGCGATAACTTTTTTTGGCAGGACAACACTGTCTTCCAAAACTGATGCAAATAACTGCAACAAGTTTAAAAGTGTTTTTTGATGTGAGAGCACATTTAGTGACAAAAAAGGACTTAATTAGTGAAAGGTCAGTTTCTAGGTAAAAATAAATGCTTGAGTGAGGTTTTGGGGCGCTCATTAAAACATGTGGATAAGGAACGACTTTAGTTGAACAAGAATATTGTTGACTGTCAGTCCAAAACATCAGCGTTCCTGTGTAGGGATTGTTGGATTTATTTAGTAAAATGCTTAATTAATGGCAATTAATTCCAGACTGTGATGAAGAAAGACATTCTTTTACTTAGATGATGATGAACAAGGTCATTCTCTTTTCTTTTGATGGTCACCACAGCCTTGATTCCACCCCCTGTTGCCGTGTGTTTTCCCATCACCTCTTGTCATGTGGTTTTCCTACCTCCTGCCACAGAACCCCGATTCCACCTCCTGTTGTTCATTGTCCCCCTTACCTCCTGCTATTTGATTAGCAACTGTATGTTAACTAACCATTATTCACTTCAGTGTTTGCATACAGGTCCCCCCACCCTCTGACATACACTATACAATTAGATTAAAAACAAAAAGGCTGAGTGGCTTCCTGCAGGGTGGTTTGGAGATCTTGCCAATCGAATATAAGATTAAAGGTTCTTTGAAGTGGTAAATTTGGTACTTTTATCCTCTCTAAGGGGAATCTGTGTGACTCCTTTTCTCTAATGTTAAAAGAATGTGAAAGTGCATGCCTTGCTGATAGCATGCACAACACAGCATGAGGATGGTCTCATTCCTCTGTGTGCTTTAGAGGAGGCGTGAACTGAATAATTATTGATTTACAAGTCATTAGAAAAAAGAAGTGAAGTTTATTTTCACAAGATTTTTGACAGAAAGCGTCTCGTTTTGATTTCAAAGTCAATCACTGAACACAATTGCAGCACGCTCAGGGTTCCTAGAAAATGGCCACTGTTTAGACACGTTGTTCATGAACTAGAGCAGATCTGCCAAAACACTGATAGTACTGTGTTTAGTTATGCCGTATCACCTCCTAAAGGCTTTGAACCAGGTCTCTTCCTGTGTTAAACAAGGTCTTTGTTTCCCTGCATTGGTTCAACACAAAAACAGAAAGCTCAGCGATTTCCAAAACCAAAGGTCAAAGACCAAACCAACTTTTTTATGTTTTTACACGAACATGGCCAAAATCTATCAATCAGCTCAAGCTCTTAACATGACAAACAACCACATTCATCAAATGGTGCATGACTCTCCTCCCAATACTACAAAAATGTCTAGTATGACACAGTTATCTGACAAAGACTGGTTCAGTTGTGATTATTCACTCTCATAATTACCGCTAGGACTGTACATAAAACTGCACATGACTGTAAGAACTCAGGTCATGATTTCATTTTAAGCAGCAAACTGGACAAAACAATTCCTGCCCAACTGAAGTTATTAGTAGATTTTCCAAATAATTTAACATGGCATTTGGAGAAAATTATATTTCTACTCAATTCAATGTATGTACATAGCACCAAGTTTTAAACATATTCCCACTGTTTAAACTCTTGACACGCCAACTGAATTCCACTGTAGCCTCATGAGGTAGACAGTAGATTGCATTTCCTTTGTGACTTCAGCACCTGAGGCTTCTTGTTTTTCCCAGTGACCTCAGTGGTCATACTGAGTGAAGTACTTATTGTGTGTTTGTCTGCGGTGGCATAAATGAGTGTTTACTGTCTCTTGAGCAATCTCTCTGAAGCCACACAAAGTCAGAGCGTGATGTACGCTGATTTAAAGTCACCAGTCACGCAAACAGTGGTTATGGAATACAAAACGCTTCCAGCCGACAGATGCGTTAAAGAACCAAAATCTAAAGTTAAAATGAATAGTTTTGATATCTTAAGGAATGAAGGAAACATCTATGCTAATGGCAGATATATTAACTGATTGTGGAGATGTCAGCTATCATTGTGAGTTGTTACAAAACTGTTATGAAAATACCAAATACATGTTTGAGGTCTTTTAACACGGTGTACTTATTACATAGATTGTCAACTAGAGGGCTGTGACAAAACTATGTTTACCAGACAATAAGTCCGACTCAGTACAAATCTTGGTTCTAATTATTCAAAGGTGCAATGTCTGGGATTTTGACGAGATGTACTGGATTAAAGTGCAGTCTGAGGCATTCAACCGCTGACCCCAAAAACAAAAGAATTTAAAATATTTTATTTATCAGAATTATGTAATTTATGCGCAGTCTTTTATTTTCAGCTCAGTGTTCGTCTCTCCTGCCGTCTTGCTGCTCCCCCTCTGCGCCTTCTTCTCCGCTCATTCATGTGCATGACTGACTGGTCCACATATGTCTAAGCAAGTCCCAAGATCAGATGAGTCTCATGTTCATAACTCCAAAAACCAAAAAAACAACACATGAGAAAAAAACAAACAAACATGCATTACCAATGTACTAAATGAATGAAATGAGCCAGAGACAACACATGAGTTTCAGTAAACTATTAAAGAGTATTCAAATAGCCTTGATAGGACTGTAAACACTGAGGCAAGACAGAAATGTTGTGCCCTGTGTATCCCACAGCAGCTCCTAACAATCTAATAACTGGCTGCATCGTGACATTATCCACTCAGCTCTGTAATCAGTGGCAGTGGCAAGAAAGCTTCTGTGTTCACGTACAGCCTGGAGATAGAGAAATGTAAAAAGTTAAAGAGCAGCAGTGATACCTTACCGTACATTTACCAGCATGTGGGCAATAAGCAGCTTTATTCAGATAGATTTGGTATTTCTAAAGTAATCTAGACGACCTAAATGAGGTTCATGTCGTTAGGTCAAGGAATTGACCAGAGTACTGTAATGGGTACTGCAACGATATCTGAGAGCAGCGTTAGAGGTTTGACTTTTTCAGTTTTTTAGACAGAGCTGGGGAAAAGCCAGAGGTTTGCAATACACATGTACAGCCGTTACAGTTGGGCTTTTATTGTGTATTAGGACAAAAATCTCTGTAATTAAGACTATAGTTGTATTTTTAACAACAACAAAAAAATGCAGGTGTAAATATCCTTATCAGTCTGTCAGGCTTTGTATAGCTTTACCAATTTTAATCGATAAGTTAAGGTAGTATGTATGCTAAATGAGAGACAAAACCCAGGACAAAAACAGTTCATAGAGCACTCAGAGCACCACCTCACTGCACCTCGGTTATTTTGAGTTCATGGTAACAACTCAGGGCAGCTCGGAAAAGATTATCAACATTTTTGTCAAACTTGGGAGAAAGTTGTCTCATCTCCAGGAAAACTATGCTCCTGGTTGTTTTGGTACAGTCAAAAAAAAAAAAAAAAAAACTGACTGGCACGTCTGAAAAAATCAACTCAAGTTCTGACACTTTAACCATGTTTCATATCAACATGTGCTAAATCGAAGGCAATCATAACAATTCTAAAGCTGAATGCCACATTTCCAGGTGAAACATAGCACGAGTTCTGACAATATTTCAACAAATAAGAGTCACTGGTATTAGCTTCAGATTTTATTTACATTTTATACCACTGCATTGCCATTTTTAATCAGAATTAAGAGTTCATTGTATATCTATAAAATGATCATTGTCAACATATTTCAAGTGTTTTAATGTCCCCTTGTTGCCACTAAAACAACTTTTTAGGGGGTTGGTTATGGATTTTAGCCTGGAAAAGCTGTTTATAAAACACTCAACAGTAAAACAATACATCACGGATTGGCTTTTTCAGCAACAACCACAATCCTGCCCCTGAAAGAAGTCCAGCATAATTACTTTTTTTGTGATGGTCCCCACTTCACCCAGGGGCCACTGGCTACAAGTGGCCTCGTCCTGAGGGTAGTTCAGAGTGAGGCCCACATGTTTGAAGGCCTCTGGGCAGTGATCCACCCTTGCCTCCAGGATGTATGCAAATGCACAATGACAGATTTTCTTACTGTGAAGCATGAGTCAGAGCCAGTTAAACTGCTGGTTAGGCAGTCTGTCTGTCTTACAGACAGGGCTATGTATAGACAAGCAGACTTGTTACACAATGACCCAGTTTTTAGTCAGTAAGAGGTTTCAATACTTTTTATTGGTCATTATTAAAGGACAAAAGGCACTCGGATCAAATTGTGGCTCACTGGGCAGTCTCTGTGTGTGTTGGTGAGAGAGAAATGAAAGAGAAAGAGAGAGCAAATCCGGGAAGTGTTTTGTTGTGTTTTTGTGTCCATCTTTTCTCGATTATCTCAAAAATGTTTTCCTACAAACCAGCTGAAGTGACTTATCAGTTCTGGCAAGCACTATTACAGCAGATTGTTTCTCTGGAAACCAAACATCAGGCAGTGGGTTTTTAGTCTACTTGCCACACCATTCATATTTTTACTCTATACATTTTCTTTATTTTCTTACAGATGTTTTCATGCCTGTTCCTTTAATTCCCCGGCAGACAACAAGAATGAGAGCAGGTTAACTTTATTTACACGATAAAGTCATCTGGTCACTTCTTGCCACTGTGACACAACTTCGTCCCTATGATCCTTGGACAGGTGTCCTCATCCCTCCCAAACAACACCAACAGATATCCTGTACTTGTCGGCACAGGCTGACTCAGCCTCTTTGCAGTCTCTGTGTTTGACTAAACCCCACAAACATGTTATTACAGACAGTCCACCTTCCCTGCCCCCACCACAACTCACCTTAAAGCCTCTTTTCTATCTTTTAGCTATGTCCTATCATATTCATTTCACATTTTAGGTAGTGCACTGTCTAGAAGATCTATGAAGTCCCTGCCTTTCTGTCCACATCTCAAGCACACCAGCTCATTCAGAACTCTGCTCAAAGAAATTAAAATCTACTCTACGCTTTACAATGCTAAGTTTTATAACTGGAGTCATTTAGCTGCACATATTTGAACCAGAAGTCAATTTTGAAGAAGAATAGCGATACAAATGCCGTCACAGTGGCTGGTTCCTCAGGTTTGTTGCACATGAAGCCCCAGATGTTTCTGGGACTGGTAACCTGCAGACTCAAGGTAGAATTGCTCAGCCATGATGATGACTGCTTTTATCACTCATGATGTGTCTTTCAATAATTAAAAAACACTATATGAACATGTTAGCAAGGTAAAAAAACCAAAAAAAACAACTTGATTTCCACCAGAGGGAGTTGTTAAAAAAAACACATTAGATCGGCAAGGTACATTTCATCCTTCCATCTATCCCAACAGTTTACTCAGTCAGACAGACTCGTATATAAATACAGCTTAGGTATGAAACACACAGACATGAAAAGGTTGACTTGATGGGCCAAATGTAAAATTAAAGGGTAATTCCTTCAATTTTCCACATCAAAGACTGTTTGGAGAGTGTTGAGGAATACAACTGAACACAGGCTCGTGACTTGAGTTTACATGAGCTGCTACGAGCAAAACTTTGAACTGCGATGCTACAAATGTTGAGTTTAAAGCAACTTCACTGACGTACGGTAGCTAGTTTGAGATACTGCAGCTGCAGAGTTTATGATATGGTTAAAAAAAACAACAATACGTACACACACAAATCCAGCTACTCTCTCTAGGAAAAATGTTACTGGAGAGAGAGATAAGAAGAAATGTTTGTACCACAGTGATGTGAACCTCACGCATTCAATCGGTTCCCATAAATCAACAAATAAGTCACCGCCCTGTGTCGGTGAAACTGTGCAGGTGCTTACAAGCTAAACTTCATGTTAAACCTGTTAAAGTTTTGATGATAACAGACGTGAAACTGTCGAGCAACATAAAGGAATTCATGGAAAGGTGTTCATGCAGCCTCCTCATGGCTGGTTTGGCAAGACAAAGACAATCTACATCTGTTCCACATAATGAATGATGACTGCATGTGAAAGGAGCTCACCATCACAAATGTAGGAAATTCAAATGGTGACACTCAGGCCAAAGGCAGATTCACATACAACCACGATCTGGTGTTCTTTAATTGAACTTTCTTTTTCCGGCAACTCAACACCTTGTCCTGAAATCACTCTTAATCTCATCACATGGGGTGTATTACTCAAGCTTTTGGTTTGCTTAAAAATATAGTCCTCACATTCTGCAACAGGTATGTGTTGTCTTGGCTGCTTTATAATGCAGAAGACAGGTTTTCTGAGATTTTGGGAGGCTTTGTGAGGCCGTGTATGCAGACATGTGTGTGAGCCCTCAGGCTAAACTGGCCTGTCAGATACTGAGCACAGGTCATAAACAGGTTGGGACAAGTCAGCTATTTTTACAGCCCAGGTGGGGTGTGGGTATGTAATCAGCGGTCAACACTGACCACTGATCTGCTGGAACTACAGCAAAGAGGTTTGAGTGGAGAAGCCAAGGGTTATCAGTTGTTTTGTGAGAACAGGCCTGCAGAGTAAAACAAAACATTCAGCGAGCTAAAAATAAATCGTGTCTGTGGTTAATCAATGTAAGATCGTCTTTGGCTGCTTAAAAAAATGAGGTTAAAACTCATTATCATCAAACCTTGGTAAACTCTGTGAATGAACTGTAGGATCTGCTTAGTTAGCAGATTTCTAGCAGTTAAACATCCTCAGAAAAGAACATGAACAATTTGAATTAGAATTTATATACAGTACATCACCTTTCTGCAAATGTTTTATTTTATCTTTTCATGGGACAACACTGAACAAATGACACTTTGCTATAATGTAAAGTGGTCAGTGTACAATTAGCCATTTTCCCTCCCTGGTGTCATGTGACTCGTTAGTGTTACAAGGTCTCAGGTGTGAACGGGGAGCAGTTAAATTTGGTGTTATCGCTCTCGCACTCTCTCATACTGGTCACTGGAGGTTTAACATGGCACCTCATGGCAAAAAACTCTGAAAAAAAAGAATTGTTGCTCTACACAAAGAAGGCCTCGGCAATAAGAAGGCTGCCAACACCCTGACACTGAGCAGCAGCACGGTGGCCAAGACCATACAGCGGTTTAACAGGACAGGTTTCACTCAGAACAGGCCTCGACCAAAGAAGTTGAGTGCTAGGCGTCACGTCCAGAGGTTGTCATTGATAAATAGATGTATGAGTGCTGCCGGCATTGCTGCAGAGGCTGAAGGGATGGGGGGTCAGCCTGTCAGTGCTCACACCATACGGCACACACACGACATTAAACTGGTCTGCATGGCTGTCATCCCAGTAGGAAGCCTCTTGTAAAGATGATGCACAAGAAAGCCCGCTAACAGTTTGCTGAAGACAAGCAGACTAAGGACATGGATAACTGGAACCATGTCTTGTGGTCTGATGAGACAAATAAACTTATTTGGTTCGGATGGTGTCAAGCAGCTGGGTGAACATGATGGACTGGCCAAGCATGTCTCCACCTCCACCTAAACCCTACTGAGCATCTGTGGGGCATCCTCAGACGGAAGGTGGAGGAGCACAAGGTCTCTAACGTCCACCAGCTCTGTCGTCATGGAGGAGTGGAAGAGGATTCCAGTGGCAACCTGTGAAGCTCTGGTGAACTCCATGTCAGATAATAACGGTGGCCCCACAAAATATTGACACTCTGGGCCCAATTTGGACATTTTCATTCAGTTGCCAGCAGTTTAGTTTCTGTCATACAGACATACAGAAACATACAAAAATAAATAAATAAATAGACAACATTAAAAAAAAAAGGAAATGGATATTACCTAAATGTGAAAGTGTTCATAACTCATAACAATACATACAACAGAGAAGGAAATAATTATCTCTGTGATAACTTTCCAAAGTTGTACAATCTTCTCTCATAGTAATATAATCTCCTGTGCAGTGTTACCACCTGATAAATATTCAAATCCATGCATGTAGTACTCAAACTGGCTCTTCTGGCCCCTTTAATTATTTCACAAAACAAACAAACAAACAAAAAAACTAAACAATGACTATTTCATAAGAAAATAATATTCTTTTTGGGTTTTTTTACAAGTTCAGGAATGAGTTTTTATAATCTCTGCTGCAGGTATTTAATAAATGCAGAGGAAAGGATTTATCACAGTCTGAGTCAACCTCTCAAACCTCCTCGTCATTCATGTGCTCTACACGGTGCACATAACTTACAGACTTCTTCACTCACCTCAGCAGCTCAAATTCCTCACGTCTGAGTAATGTCTGAAAACCCCCATCTACATTGTAATCCTGTCTATTAGAGAATGTTGAGGGGAGAGGGTTTTTTATCGATGGCCTTTCACTGAAAAAGCTCTGGTTGCTGTTCAACTTTGTTTTCACTCTCATAAGACAAAGAACATCAGATGTCATGCAGTGATGGTGTGTTGCCGTTGGGAGAAAGGTTTTTCCTACAGTTTTAGATGCCTGGACAATCTCCCACTCCCTCCTTAACTTAAATAGCAGATAAAATAACAACAGGGATACACAAAAGCTTGCCAATATTGGTTGCTTCCTGCTGCACTGTACACCATGTTAGTGTTATCTTTACAACGGCCCTCATCTCTCTAGTCTGCGTAGTACAGCACACAATGTGGGGACTCCCTCACAGCAGCAACAACAGCAGATATATCGTCCCTCCAGCAACAAAATAGCTCCAAGACTTGCTGCTGGGTAGGTGTGGAGGCTCGTACTGTACATTAGCTCACACAGATATCTGAGAGAAGCTCGAACCTGGAATGCAGTGCAACCTGACACCAGGATTAGAAAAGGAAGAGGGACGAGTATGAGAAGGCTCAGTGTATTGCTGCAGACTTCTACGTTGCTCTCAATTCTGTCCAAGAGCATCATGTAGAGACCGAGCAGATGGACGTCTGAACATTATACTGTACACAAAACAAAAGAGTCACATATGTTTTTAAGAGTTGGTGGGGACCAAACCAGAGCTAAAAGGAGACTGAATAAAAGACACAAAAACTGTGAGACGTCAGTGCTGTTGCATTAACAATATATCAGTTTACAGAGGGTGTGGAACATTTTGCTCACAGTGACGAACCAACTGAGAAACATCCCCAGCATTCCCTATGCTTACAAAACTTTTATCTTCTTATGGCTCTTTGTTTTAGTTTCTTGACCAGCAAATCTGCTGATCGGCTCTGTTCTACCAGCAGCACGCCACTATTTCTAGGTTAAAGGTTTTGGTGGATTAACTGTACACCTCCTGTCTAGCATCAAACAGCAGTTGGCAAGTTGGACATTGGGGAGTATTTTAGATCTAGAGTATATATATTTAAAAAAAAAAAAGGACTTGCATTTGTCTGGTGGACATGAACATCCCTCCAAATAGATGCTTTTGAAGCCTCCAAATTAGGTTTTAAAAGTTGGTTTTGGAGCCCCCTGAATGGTTATTGATCTTTATGCTGCTTCACAGTCAATTAAACTCAAAATAGTTATTTGGTGAAGCTGCTCATCTCACTTGACACATCTCACCATCAACATGCACCTGTAGACTAAACCCTGAAGCTTTATAACACTTCTTCAACTCAAATGTCAACAGGCACCACACAGACAACATCAGAGTGCACACAATCTAATTGTTTAGTGAGACAAATGTACCACAGAGGTCAAGAAAATGAATGGCTTATTAGAGATCAGAGACAGGAAATAAAAAAAAACACCCTGCAAGTAAAATTACTGACAGAAATGGCTGAACCACTGGCATAGGAAGGTGATTTTACCTTTCCTCCAAGGAGTCAGAATGGAGAATGACTTTTGCCAGCTGATGACCAGCCCACCCTTTCTCCTCTTCATGCTCATGTTGCGGTCGCTGAATGCTTCTACAGTTTCAAAAAATGTAAATGCGAGGTTAAAAAAAAAAAACAGAAGAAAAACTTCCTCAGGGATTCCTCATTGTGCTTTTATTCTTTGAAGCTCAGCTGCTGAAAAGGCATTCGTGGTAGGAGGGCTCCATGCGGTGGTTGTCCTCAGAGCAGGGTCACAATACCTGTTGCCTGCTGGACTGCTGGGACGCTTGTGTGCTTGTTTATTACAGTGTGTGTGTAAGTGTAGCAAATTCCTCCAGCTAAGGAGAGTAAAGGGGCTGGATTCCAACGGAGGGGCTGGACTCCAGCAGCATGATTCAAAGTCATGAGAGCAGGAGGAGGAAGAGGAGGAGAACTGGCAGACAGCCAAAGGCAAGAGAGAAGAAATAGGAGGAGGGAAACTCTCTGGAGGACTTGAGATTACCCCGAAGGTGAAGGGAGCAGCAAGAGTTAGAGGAAGAAGCACAAATAGCTGAGGAGGGGGGAGGCTGATGGTGTATGAGAGTGAAGTCCTCATCCACTTCAGACCGCCACAGCTTCAGACCTAAAATAGCTGCAGTAAATGACTTTTAAGCTACCCTGAAGCCACATGGAACAGTTTTTTTCTTCAGTCTTACATGAAACTATAAAAGCAGCACGGTTCAAAAACGGTTTACTGTTGCTGTTAAATCTGTCAACCACAAAAACAGCTGTGATCAGAGCAGTAAAGAACAGAAAACTTGTTTATAGGCTTGTAAATACCTTATTTTTAGATACTTTCATTTCAAGCAATTCTGTAACAGCAGCCAAAATTTTATCCTTTCATGTATTGGATTATTTTTAAAGTACAAACTATTTCTTTGTCTGTTATATTCAATTAAAAAATACAACTGATCCACTTAATATCCAAGCATTCAGTTGTATCGCAGCCTTTATGGGCAACAAATGCATTTTTTTATTTTAAAATGAGAAAGTGGGTCGTACTGGTGGTCACAGTGACAGAGTTAGTCTGGAGCCCTGAATAGTGTTTTTTTTTTTATTATTATTTATGTCGTGTGTTTTGAATTTGTACAGATCCTGTAAATATTAATGAAAGTTTGATAAATGGTTTTGAAATTTAGTTCTGGTAAGTCTTCCATCCATTATCTATACACCGCTTAATCCTCACTAGGGTCATGGGGGGCTGGAGTCTATCCCAGCTGACTCAGGGTGAAGGCAGGTTCACCTGGACAGGTGACCAGTCTATCACAGGGCTACACTTAGAGACAGACAACCAAGCACACTCACATTCACACCTACGGACAATTTACAATCACCAATTAACCTCAACATGTTTTTGGACTGTGTGGGAGGAAGCTGGAGAACCCGGAGAGAACTCACGCTGCATGAGGAGAACATGGAGACTCCACGCAGAAAGATCCTGGGTGTCCTCACCGGGATGCGAACCACTGAGTCACCTTGCAGCCTCTGGTAAATCTTAATGTTAAATAAGATTATGATAAGAATATCCTCCATAGGTAGATCATTTGCATTCCTGTAAATAGTTGTGCCCGATGTTACTCATATTCCAATTTCTGATTTAAAATAAAAGGGTTTTTCTTTCAGACTGCACCCCTCCACCAAACATTTCCACCAGCTGCCACTGCTTGAATAGTACATCTGGTACCTTGAATCCTTTTAAAATTCAATATTTCTGTGTGCTGTGAACTATTTGTTGTAATTGGATTTAAATGAACCAACAGAGCTACAAAATGCTGCAAAGTTGCCGGTATTAAATGTCAGTATACTATTGAGATATTTTAACCTAACTTGGGATTTACATATTTATCTATTATTACACAGCTTAGTAACTTTAATGTCAAAATAAAATGCACACACTCTCGTGGTCTCCTTTGCTTGGTTTCCTACTATAATGTTTAGTTAGTGAACAATCACAGCTCCAGTGCTTTGAATCATGCACACATACGTTTTCTTTAATCTTTGACTTTCAAAATAAATACTCATGTTTTGTCATGACCAAAATGAACAGTACAGCAGAAATCTTATTCTTTTTGTCCCATTATTTGTTTCCTGGTTAGTTGGCAAGTGGTCCTAAAAAGCCACGGCTACAAACATCTGTTTCAGAAATGCTAGAATTATCAGTTAATTGGAACTTCAGTTAAATGTGAACACCTGTAAGAGCAGAGGAAGGCTGTGCACCTGTTCTAATAACAAGCAGTGTACAAATGTTGAAAGCCACTGTTAAGCAGATTTAGAGTTTATTACATTAAGATGTCGGCCATATTAACTGCCGCAGGAGTTCACAAGTTAGACAAATTACCACAGTTAGGGGGACTTATTGTCTCGGCCTTCAGCTATAAAAACTATGGTGCAATCTTTTCGTGTTTAACAGTAGTGAACAAGATAACTTGACAAAATTGCACCGTCTCTGGCCAAACATATTCACAAAGACAGTAATGACTTGTTTGTTTAGATTTGTACAAGAGCTTTATTAGCAAAAAGATGAAAGACAAACAGTGACACAAACTTATAAAAGATAAAGAACAGAGACAACAGTCAACAGCATGTAGTGGAAATAAGGGTGTAAGAGGGGGAGTTAGAGCCAAGACAAAAAACAGAAACAAGCAGCATGCCAGCTAAACTTTGGATGATCTTTTCTTCTGGCGCAAAGGAGACTGCACATTCCACTGCCTCAGTTCAGGAGCTCTGAAAGACAACACAGCTAAGGTTTAAACTGAAGCTTTTCCACAGACAGCTTCTCCAAAGCACACACAATACACACACCTATAAATGTGTATGCAAACAGTGCAGCTTACCAATTGTATTTTGTATGTTTTGGACAACAATGGCGCTCTATAGCCCAGAGGAATGGGATCTGACACTGACAGACAGACACACGCTTTGTGAAACAGAAGACAACAGAAGTGTACTTACTGCACATGAAGAACACTGTCCTCCCTACCAAGACCTGCAAGGACACAGTACACACAAATTAAACCTTAAGCCTAAGCTTAAAACCACTAATACCAATTCAAACTTAAGGCCTGTTTGTAAGGTACACAGGCCTGAAGTTGTTAAAGAATTTAGGTTCATTTAAAACACAGAAGGAGGTTCTTATTCTCCTGATCACCAGATTAGTGCGACTGATCAGAGAAACGTACTTGTTCCGTGGTCACTGAAGATGGCACTGACTCCTTCATCAAAGGTTAAGTTGACGTTGACGCCTACATCACAGGAAGGAGGACATACAGACAGTTGAGGGTTTAACGTGTGTTTGTTTTGCAAGTCTGCACCATATTGATGAAATACATATTTAACTGAAGTCCGGTAAAGGTAATCGAAAATTTATTGAAGAGAAGTTGCATCATGGTATAATATAACGGTGTTAAGAAGAGTAAATGCAGAACATTGTTTCAGGACAGAACCGTTCTTCAAGGTCCTATGTAAAAATTGGTACTAGATAGACTTGATTCAAAATCCAGCTAATCACTGAACTCCATGGCTCAAGAGAGGCACAAAGCCAGTGGTTGTGTGTCCAGTGCCTTTGGGGCACGAACACACACACTTTTATTTTGTGGACAGCAGTCTGCACTGAATGTGTAATGAGGATGCACTGTGGGCTTTTACCTTTGGGTGTGCTAATGGCTCTGTCGTTTACAGCTCCTCTAGGCACCACTGGAACAACAAAAAACACACACACTCATTCAGTTAGGTTTGTGTCCACCTGCTCCACTCAACATTTATTCTCTTTGAGCTGTTTTTGGCTCATGTTCAAACTATAACAGTTCAGAATTGTACTACAACACACACATATATATACACACTACTGAATAACAGGCAGTCATTTATCTGACAACTATGCAAAATTAAATTCTACATTTTTTTTTTGATGTTTTTGTTAACTCTCTTTTATTTTTTGAACTGCTACACTCAGTGGAAATTCCGGTGGCTTAGACATTGTAATTTGTGGTTTTATCCTCCAGCGTGTCATACCTGTTCCTTCCAGCATGATTGATTTAGACTGGACATGATCCTCTCGTCTTGATCTGCGTGCATGGCTGAGAGAACACAAACATATAAGCACTCAAAAAAATATATCTATCTAAGCTGAGCCAATTAAGCAAACAAACATTCAAAACAAACTAACGATGTGAACGTCCATCTCTGGTTGTGATTTCCCCACAATAAACTCACATCTGTGTATAAAAGTTTGGGATTTAGATTCTTTTTAATTCTCATAGAACTCTGCATCATTGCTTCCTTTAGAATGTGCAGATCTGTGAAGTCCCCACCTTCATCTACAACCCCTACATATAGGAAATCCTAAATAAACTCGGCTAGTTATTTGGACAGTTTGATAAGCTGCTATTAGTTTAAATGTAGTCTTTTGCTTATCAGTGCATTATTATGCGCTACACATCACTTGATGATACCCCGACTCACATTTCTCACATTTCTGCCATGGTGTTGACTGCTTAGTTTACTCGTGATGTATCTTCCAGCATATAAAAACACCATATCAACACATTAGTAATGTAATATTTGATTCTCACTGCAGAGGGTTCAGTCTGCAATATGTTCTGATTACTGGCCACATGATGTCCTTTGCTGAAGTCAGAGAGACGTGGGGAAAGCAAAGGCAAACAACAGAATGCAGTGTGAGATCCTGGAAACCTACCTGACAGTGTGTGCCAGTCTGGCAGAATCTGGGTTTGAACGAAGCGGCTGCGGTGTGGCAAAGCCAAAATGAAGGAGGGCCCTGGATCTGGTAGGAGAACCCGGAACTGAAGCCTGAAGAGAGACCAGAATCATAGTGATACCTTTAATGGCAGCGGGCAACTTAAAGACACACATTTTTAAGATAAAGTTCAGTTGATAAAGCAATTTAAAAACGCTATTTCATTGGCCGCTGCTCCTTTGCATAGAAAGGAGGCAGTTGAGGTGGTATGGACATCTGGCTCGGATGCCTCCGGGGGAGGCTCCTCTGGAGGTTTTCCGAACACGTCCACCTGGGAGGAGACCCCGGGGCAGACCCAGAACCCGCTGGAGGGATTATATCTCTTGGCTGGCCTGGGAACGCCTCGGGATCCCCCAGGCAGAGCTGGAAAGCGTCGCTGGGGGGAGGGAGGTCCGGGACGACCTGCTCCACCTACTGCCCCCGCGACCCGACCCCGGATAAGCAGAAGACAATGGATGGATGGATGGATGGATGGATGGATGGATGGATGGATGGATGGATGGATGGATATTTCATTGGGTAAAGACAAGATCCTCCCCTTATAAGGACGCCTGTGACGTTACTGTGTTTGAATGAGCTACAGGTGTTGGAGCACACAGATTTTCTACCTGTGGACAACGTGGACGTGAAATGTTCACTTTTTGTTGGCAATGAATGGACTTAAACTGATTTGTCTTGGTCTTCAGTGGGAGAAACCTTGCACTCCCGTGGTTCAGTGCAACTGTCTAGTGCCGTTTGAAATAGCTGCTCCAACTGTACTTAAAGAAAACCTGTTTAAAATTACTTAACATAAAGAGCTACACAGATAATAAAAGATTAGTGGTGTTTTTAAGTTTCTTACTGGTGTTTTTTGTATGTGGTGTGTTCTGACCTGTGCAGAGGGCATCTTGGCCTTTTCTGTCAGGCTGCAGCTGTCCATACATTTCTGCATTTCTCTGTCCTTCTCTGACGTCTTCAGAGCAAACTCCACTTCAGCTGCCAGCTGCTCGTCTCCAGAGAAAAACTCCTTCACCTCGTTACGGTAGTCTTGCATCGTCACCTGAAGGAACACCCGTGTCATGCCACACATGGAATAGATACACACAAAAGTTCCACGTACATGCTGCTCACAAGTTACCACTTCGTTAATCAAACAAATTGGTAGACAACAAATGGGCTGGGCTCACCTGGAGGTAAGACATGAGGTCTCTGAGAACGGGGGAACGCTTTTGCTCCAGTAGGTTCTTCAGGCTGATGATTAGAGGAACTGTGTTCTCTATGAAGGCCTTCTTCTGGACCTGTGGATCAAAGCAGGAGGCTGAGAGGAGCTCACCTGAAAGCTCCAAGGAGTCTTCTAGAAGTAGTTAAGACCCAATAACTGACTCACCCCTTTGCAAAACAATACACTACTTATAAAAATGATGAGTAGGGATTACAATGTAAAAGTCTGTAATTATTATAGAATTGCAATTACTGATCCAAATCACAGGGACACTTTGATATTTGGAGATCAACTGTCTTACTCGGAGTTAGATGGATGACTGATATGAGTGTGGTCTTTCTGTGGTAAGAGGACAGACTAGTCTGGGAGGTGCTAATGTTAGCTTGGCACAGTTTAAGATACAGGGAGTGTAAACCTATACCAAAACTAAAGAACTGTTACTATTGGGAATGTATACCAAAATTGTCTCATTCACATGTTGTGGGATCTTAGCTGGCAGGATAAGACCAGGAGTTTGGTTTAGACTCAGAAGGTATGTGAACTGTGCAGCTGAGATCAGGAGTTTGGGAGAGCTGCTGAATGGTCAGTAAATCCCTCTAAATTCTAAGCTGACTGCTTATGAACCCACAATGTGCAGTTTTCTGTTTTTCAATATTTAAAATACAGAAGATTTGAAAGTTGTGGCGAGATTTGACAGAGCAAAGCTAAAAAAAACTCATGTCATGTAATAGTAATTTAATAATTTTGTTGAGTTTTCTTACCTGTGACACCACCTTCTTCTGTGCAACCTGCAGGACGGCCTTTGCCATGTTCTCCTCCTCTGGTTCCTCCCCTGTCGAACCTACAGTTGGAGTTGACATGGCCTGCAGCTTCATCTCCTTCAGACTCAGGATGTTGAAGGTCTCTGACAAAATTTCAGCACCATCTGCATCCAGAGGCAGCTCCTCATCTGCAAAGCATGCTGTGATAGGAAAAGTTAAAGAGTGAGTGGGAGAGTCCCAGGGATTTTTCTTCATACTGCTGCAGGACCAACCTGGAGCTTACTGACAGTCCAGAACTCACAGAGAAAACGTGTTAGGATGCCACAATATGTTTACAGTTCATACATGATGCATAAATGAATCATATTCTTTCCAGCTCTGGCTTTACTTCTCAGTCCACATATTTGCTCACCTAAGATGGTCTGGCTGATCTTATTGGTGATGTTGAAACGCTGGGCATCTGTGAAGTGCTCCAACAGGAAGTGGTAGATCTGAAAGCGCTTCTTGCGGTGCTGAGCTCCTTTCAGAGAGAACTGAACCTTTTCTCTGGCAAATTAAAAAAATAATTTAATTATCTTACAAAAAGTCCTTGTGTGTACTGTAACAAGATACACACTGCACTGTTTTGTCTTGCTGATTGTGACCTAGAGCAGCTTCATACCTCTCAGTTTGAGGGAACTTGTTATAAGAACTGTGTTTGTTGTAAGAGTTGAAGTAGAAGATGCACTCAATGAAGTGCTGGCTGAACATTTCTGGGGTCTTCTTCAGCAGCAGGTGGAGTAGGCAGTATTCACACAGACTGGCACAGAAAAAAAAAGATGCGCTTACATAAACAACATGGTGGTTTGCACTGTGACATACACCCAGTAAGCACTTCATAAGAACAGCATACCAACACTGGCTCAGGCCTTCCTTTGCTTTGAAACAGCCTCAGTTTTTGGTGGCATGGTTTTCACAAGATGTTGGAAACCTTCCTGAGATTCTGCTCCTTGTTACATAACTTCTGTAGATTTGTCAGCTGCACATGCAGGCTGCTATTGTATTACAGTATATTGTTTAAAGATATGAATGCCGTCTCAATTTATAAAACATGTCTCTGTGATATTACAGCTCTTGGCTATGTTTTTACATCCCCAGGATAACTGAATATTCACAAGAGGACATTGCTGCAGACTTTTCATCACTGTCAGCAATTTGTTGCCTTATCCTATGACCTACATAGTTCTAAAATTGCTCATGTTTATTATTTACTTAGTTAGCGTCTATCTATGCAGCGTGATTTACCTGGCGATGGCAGGGACTGGGTCAACCAGCGCTACCATGAAGCGAAAGAAAAGCGAGCCTTTCCACTTCACAAATTCCTCCTAGGAACAGAGATAAAAACAGAGAGCCATCAGGAAACCAGCTAAGTGAGTGTTGCAGGAATCCCTTTGGGAGTGCTATGAACCATTTCATGTGGTCTTGTTTGCTTTTGCTGACACTTGGTCACTTTTCAATTGTTAAAATAATAATAATAATAAAAAAAAAAACGTTATGTTTAATTTCAAATCCATTGTGGTGGTGTACAGAGCCAAAATGATAAAAACTGTGTCAATATCCAAATATTTAGGGACCTGATTGTACATCAAAAGTGGTAAAGAAATTGCTGAATCAGGCTAGAATTAAAGTTTTAAACTGGTCTCCAAAAAGTTCTGACTTGAATCAAGAACCTGTGAACTGTGTGAAGGAAACAATTCTGTGTCAAAAAGTCAACAAATTTAGTTGATCAGACCAACTCTGTCATGTGGATGGTTGCCAAAAGCTCCGAGTTGATGTGAAAAAGGCCAAGAGACATTTAACCAAATGTTAGCATCGCTCCATGTACAATTTTGACCCAGCAGATTATGTCATATTTCCCAAAGACCTATAATAAATCTATGAAAGAACCAAAATGCATGATCGTACAAAGATGCATGTGCTTTAATGACTCCATCAAAGAAAATTTTGGGTTTTGAATTATAGGGGTCATTGAATACTCAAGACTGCCATAATATACATGGTGTATGAAACCTTTTGTTCACAAACTTTTGTTGTTGTACATAATGACATTAATTTTTAACCTGTCACCTGTAGAAAAGAACAAGATCTACCTGAAGCAGGTTGGTCAGCATTATGAGAGTCTGCTCCCTGATGACAGCTTCACTGTCCCGCAGACAGGCAGAGATGTTGGGGATGTAGTGATCCACGATGTTGGTGTATCGAACACACAGATCACACATTATCACCACAACGTTGTTGCGCACTGCAACCTCCGTGCCAACTTCCAGCTCCCTGGCAAACACCGGCAGATACTTCTGGACTAGTTCTTCATGCTGCAGACACATTTTACCTGATCCAAACAGAAATCCACACAAAGGAAACGTTTTTAAAGTGTACTGAGATGCAGACCCACACATGTGGGTCATTCCACCTCGATTCACCAGTTTTTTCAAAAAAAAGTTAGCACCTGAGCACCTCATATTTGCCGGATTCTTTGTCTATGCTTTTGTATGTCATTAAGTAAAATGTGTAAAATCTGGGGTCATGGGGAACATTAGTTTTTGAATTAAGAATTCTTAAAGAGGGATGGGGTCATGTTGATTTTTGCGCCTTTTTTCACATCAGTCTGTTTGAAGTGCCACAACTTAAGAAATAATGTAGCTAGAGTCTTGAAATTTTACAAGCTCATTGATGTGTGCATATGGTCTTCAGTGGCACATGGGCATCAATACTGCATAAAGAAGTAGCAAACTGTGAAATCTATTTTCCACCAATAATTGGGAAAAAAATATTCAAATATTGGTCACAAATGCAAAAAAACCCTTAATTTCAATAATTGTTTTTCCTCATAAAGTATGCCTCTGACTGGCACCATACTCTACGTTTTAAAGCTCCTATTGGTGCCAATAACAGGGAAAAAGCAGCTGCTGAGGGTAAAGGTAAAGTTTTTATGGTTTGCGGATTATCGGAATAGAAAAAACATGCAGATTTTTTTTGATCAAATTTACACCATTGGGGTTGTACTATTGAAGACCATATGTACATATCAATAAGTCAACAACACTTCAGGACTCTAGCTACATTATTTCTCATGTTATGGCACTTAAAACATAGCTCCACAGATGGATGCGAAGATAACAATGCAAATATGGACATGACCCCACCCTGCTTTAGATAAAATTTGTGTTACCCATGATGCCAGATTTTAAACATGGTCAACTCAATCAATACTTTGAAAAAAAAAATCTGTTAAATTGAAGATGATCAGGCATGGGGCATTTGGTGAATTGAAGCAGAATGACCCATGTACATGTTGCTCAGACACTAAAAGAGACAGACAGGAGGAAGACATCAACTGAAAAGACAGTTTACCTAATGTGATGACTCCGTGGGCTCTGACTTTGGTGGGCAGAGAGTTTGCTTTGAACTGGGACAGAGGCAGTGAGGCTGGCAGCTCTTCCTGGCACTCTGTTAATGAACAACATGAAGAACAAGTCAGCATCGTCAACCATGCTACCATATGGTATGTAGATGACATTGTTTGCAAATCCTTCCCTATGCTTAGTATCAAAAACTGTACCGTGCACTGTAAAAAGCAAAACATGTTTCACGCTTTTGTCCTTAATTATCATAAGACATCAGAACATGTTGCTGAGATTTAATTACCATGTTTGACTAACTCAATGATTTAAACTGGAATTATCTGAATTATAAGGCTGTTTGATTAACACTGACATGTACAAAGCTGCTTTGTCAAAGTCAGAAATGCAGGATTTAGTTACGACAACAGTTGGTTATTTGAGACTGGATATGATGACCTGTTTAAAAAAATCTCAGCAAGTGAAATGTTTATGTTCTCCTGACAGAACGCGTCCCAGTGAGGACACCCGGGATCTTTCTGCGTGGAGTCTCCATGTTCTCCCCGTGCAGCATGGGGTCTCTCCGGGTTCTCTGGCTTCCTCCCACAAGGTCCAAAAACATGTTGAGGTTAATTGGTGATTCTAAATTGTCCGTAGGTGTGAATGTGAGTGTGCTTGGTTGTCTGTCTCTAAGTGTAGCCCTGTGATAGACTGGTGACCTGTCCAGGGTGTCCCCTGCCTTCACCCTGAGTCAGCTGGGATAGACTCCAGCTCCCCCTAGTGAGGATTAAGGTGTATAAATAATGGATGGATGGATGGATTTGCCTAGATGACATTTTTTTCTCATTTTTTCCTCCACTGTGCCATGAACCCTGAGAGCTCCAGTCTCTAAGCACAGTGCTGCCAAAAAAACTGACCACCTTTTTGCTGCAATTCAATCTCACTGAGCAAAGGTACCTGTTTGATGAGTCTCATATATACAAGGGCACATTCCTGGAAGGTCACTTTGTAATGTGAACAACACTACTGTTTACATCATGTTCAATTCAATTCTCTACACCACAATTCACAACATATGTCATCTCACAGCACTTAACATGGTAAGGTACAGACCTTACCAGTTTATTGTGATGAAAGATTTAACTGTTACTGATGTGATAACTTTGCAGTTTCAAAGCATTTCAAACTGCTCTACAGTGTTTTGGCATCTGATAACTCTTCAGTCACATAATCTGTTAGTCTGGTCTCACTGGAACCTGAAAATAACATGTCCAAAATCAGTGTAACTCCTGTTTTACTACAGGACTGTTTTAAAAGGGCATTCTGGCTCCTTGCTTAATATAAGTCAGACCTGGACAAATGAAGATGCTCACAGGAGATGTAAACACTTTCCGCTATTGCTTGGATTTGCTGTAGTGGAAGGAGTGTTGCTGATAACACCATTTCTCTCACCAATTCTCTTTCTGTTTCTAGATATACAATCTGAGCATACAGGTAAAAACTACCACTATGTCTGTCTCAGTGGATCCATAAATGATCTGTTCTCCCTACCTGCCACTGTGTCAGGCTGTGTTGTAAGGACAGATTCCACCAGCAGCACCGTCCTCTTTGTGACCTTAGCAGGACAGTGGAGTGACGCCACACCCAGAGTGTGGAGGTACTTAACCTAGAAGAGACAACATTTTCAGTTCTGTCAGAAGTGAAAGCACTGGACACTCACACTGGGTCTCTAAGTTTGACAAACAGAAGGTCGCTTTGACATTTTTAATACATTCACACTAAGCTGGTGTATGTTTTTTTTTCTTCCCCAAACTAAGCTTTATAAAAACTCTGTCCAGAGCATTTAAATCTTAACGAGCAGGCTGGTATATCAGTGTGTACAACGAAAGTGGTACTTTATTAAAATGGCCTCCAGTGTACATCTTTAAACGCTGGTTCAGGGGAAACTGAGCTTTTCTATGCAACAATGCAAGTGTCTCAATCACAGTAGGGGGCGCTGTGTGCTAACTACTTTGCAGAAGGCAACCTTTAGTCATCTCTATCAAAAATCACTGTAGTCACCCATGTAAATGTAAAAGTATAAAACTACACTTAAGGGAGCTTTCACACCAACGGCCATGTTGATAGCTGGATTGATTAAGATATGAGACTATCTGTTCTGTCAGACAAGCATGTTGCTGCTATGTGGTCACAAAAAATTTTGCAGTAATGCTGCTGTCATTACCCTGGAAAGTTTGGCTTTGAGGATAGTGGGGAGGTTGTTTTTTCATTGCTCTCATCTCAACATGAGCTTAAGGTGAGCAGCATGTGGCTGTGAGAATTACAGTGTGATGAACATAGCATGTGTGAGACATTTTTCAGACTGATGTTTATCCGCAGCAGTATGTTAGGACTGAAAGCTGACCTTCAACCTGCATGATCAAGAGGGTGTGGGGTTAACAGGGAAAAGTCTGCCAAGCATTACTTCTCACCATCATCTCTTCATTGAGGTTCTGGGTTCCATTTTCCTTCAGGATGATGTTCGTTAAATGAGCTTCGCAGACTGACACCAGATTACCAAAGTGCTGGTTCAGAAAAGCCTGCAGAAAAAAAAAGTCTCACTTTTAGTTTATTTACGTGTATACAGTCTTCCAACCGTCCACATCCCATACAGAAAACAATTTAGACTGTTTGATTGGCAGGAAAAAAATAGTAAGACTATTGTTCGTAATTTTGCACATTTTATGGTCTTTAAGGAAACTGAATTGCTTTTTAGGAGTTTCTCAAATCTGCAGATACCCTGATAAAAAAGAGTTAAAGTTTAAACCAAAAACATTTTAAAAAACGCAAATGAAAATTCTCAACCTGAGTCTGTTTGAGGTCTTCGTGTTTGCCAAGTTGATAAAGAGTCTCCACAGCAGCACTGATCACCTCCAGAGACAAAGCGAAGGTTTTCAGCCACGACATGAGATCAGCTGCAATCAGAGATGGAGGGAGAAACAGAGAGGTTATGACAGTTCCAGATTAGTCATGTGAATTTTGCTGTTGTCCCGTTCCACACCCACTTACTAACTATCCTCTCTTTGGTATCCTCATTCAAATGTGCAGCAATGTCTCCTATCACACACAGGATGTGACAGCAGGTCGTCACATTCACATCCTTCGAGCTAAGAGAATAGAAAAGAAATGAATTCAATAAAATCATGTAGAATTCTCAGAAAATAAAACATTAATTGACCATAAATGTTGTGTGTCCCACTCACCTGACCATAGTGTCCCAGGCATCCAGGATTTTGGCATAGGGCAGTCTGTGGGATGAAATGACAACCTTGGAGAGCAGCAGCCACGCCCCAGCAGCGTGATCAGCCTCAGTGTGTGATATCAGGTTGGTGATGAATGTTGACGTGAACTTGTTCTGTTTGGACCAGATGGTGAAGGCCCTACTGAAATAGGGGCTAGAAATCCAGAGCAAAAAACAACAGCAAGAGCAGCGGTGAGGTTAAATGACTATTACCCAGTTTGGTTCCAAATTCAGTAGTCATTACGGGGACTATTTCAGTCTAAATACAAAAAAAATAAAGTGTTCTGTATTTAACACAATTTCTGCTATATCACATGTCTGTATGTATGAAAAAAAAACTGGCTGGGCCCAACCTCAGGTTCCGGCACTCGCTACACAGCAGGTCCAACAGGTCCCAGGTCAGCCTCTGACCAACACCCAAGTGGTCTCTGGCAGAGTACTGTTTGATCTGACTGAGCAGCACCTGGTCCAGAGCCTCCAGGGCCTTGTCTTGCACAGAGTTCTCAGAGTCCACCACAGCTGGCACCACACCTTGCAGCCACGCCTTCTGCACCTCTCTGCACTCTGGTTTAGCCTGAAGAGGAAATAACTGTTTAAAATGTGTCACACTTTTCTTTCTCAGCTTCTTCTTGCCGCTAGACAAGTAACCAGTAACCAAATTTTCACTTTATGCACCAGGAGAAAAATATACAATTTTACTTTTATTCTACACCGTCACTGATATATATATATATTTTAATCACTGAACATAAAGCCTTATCAGCGTTCTCTGTGTTCTACTGTGGGTTCTAGTGTCCCTCTGAGCTTCAGACTCACAGCGAGCAGCTCCCCCACACACTGCAAGGCCTTCTTCTTCACAGACACAGCCGGGTCTCTGGAGCGCTCCGACAGAGTTTTTAGGTTCTCCTCATTCATGGCGATTACACTGTGTTTCAGGAGACCCACCAAAGCCTGTTGAGGGATGATTGAGCATAGACGGTAAAGGTCATGTGCATATCTCTGTTTGTCACAAAAACACTGCACAGAAAGCTACGACAGAATGACACACGCATACTGATTACTGATGAGTTATTGTACTCATTGCTATTTCAATTGAAAACAAAAGGCTGTTGAAATCTCATGTACCTGTAGTGCTGATTTCCTCACGTTAGTCTTTGAGTCTTTTACACGTCGCAGAAGAAGAGCCAGGTTCTCCTTTGCTGTTTTCAAAATACATACCTCTTTCAGTCAGTCTCAGACATTAAGGGTGATAACATCTATTAGAAAAGTACTAACATATAAAGCCTTGGGCACAACAGGACGCACGACTTTTGGGATCGTACGTCCTTTGCAAATTTTGGGTCCCGTAGAGGTTGTCAAGGTAGAGGAAAAGTTCCAAGAGTTCCGTCAGAAATGTGTAAGAGAGGAGCAAGCCTGCCTTGCAAGTCGCAGGGGTGACGTGAGATGTCCGTTGATTCATAGAATCTTTTTGACATGTCAAAGATCCTCCCTACGTGCTTTCAGGCGGTCTGAAATCTCAAAATTTCGCAAGACAGACTTGCGTGGCACGTACTATTTTGCACATAATTTGGACGCAGACAGGCCGTAGGAGCCCGTACGGCCAGTTGTGACCAAGGCGTTACCAGTTATACATCCGTTTACAAAATGCTGCCCAATACCTACAACATGCAACAGAAATCCTTTGAATGACATGCTGACATTTCTCTTACCGTCACAGATGGAGCTGTCAGCGCTGCTGATCTCTACGGTCCTAAACGGCAGTGTGCGGTACGTTTTCTGAGTGTGCTGAGAACCCAGAGTTCCTGAAAAACAGTCACACCAACACTTAAATAAAACTGCACTGTTGTGAACGAGGCCTGGGTATTACAATACAAAAAAGATCAATTAAAAGTGAGTAAAGGAAAATAACCATTGTTTAGGAAAGCCAAAGCAAGCAGAGATGTTACCTCAAAACTGGTATCGTACTTAAAACGCAGTCAGGTAACACACATGGTAGAAAGACAGATTGTTTATCAGGTGTAATCAGGATCAACAAATTCACAACTTAAAATGTGACTGAGATATACTGAGGGGAGTCATTTAGCTTAAGATGTTCTTCAGTCAAAGTTATCCTTTTCTTCAAAGTGAAAAGGAATAGTTAAAAGACCTACAAACACAAACAGTACACTCCAGAGGTGATTACAGCAACTCAATGCGATTAAATTTGGTACAGCTTTCATTACTAAGATTCAAATGTTTAATTTCTTCAGTACTTCATATGTTAAGCTTTATTTTGATCACAGACTCAATTCTCTTCAACATGAAGGATACCAGTGTTGCACAAATGCTTGCAGCGTTCTGTCATCCTTCAGAGACTATTGTTTTTTTAAGCTGCTCTTTGCTGAAGGGGTTGTATTGCTCTACCTTTCTCTTTAAAAGAGCACAAAGTGTTCTATTGGATTTAAGTCAGGCGGGCCAAGTCAAGGTGACAACAGGAATGGCAGTCCATACTCCAGAAACATAACTCAAGTTGTAATAAATCAGAAATATATGTTAAAAACCCCTAAATAAATTTGTGCAAGGCTAACAAAAAAAAAGGATAAAACTGATATAATGACTCTTTACAGCAAAGCTCACATCAAACTTTTTCGTATTCTTAGAAACACATGGTTCAATTGTCACCAAAAGCAGAGCAAATAAATAATAATAAATAAAATACATTTGTACCAAAGACAAAAGACTGTACCTTCTGGGATATCACCATCCAAGACAGTGTGGGATCCAGCTGAACAGAGGGTAGACATGTTACTTTAGCAAATGTGTTCAGGCATACATTTTAAGAAGCAAACAGCATTTCTCATAATAAATACCATTTTCCCTTTAGATTTTTTTCTGCAAAGTGCATTTTGCACTGAAATGGGTCCTAGTTTCAGACACAACATTTTTCCAAATTAACTTTATTGTAAAATTGTCTGTTTTCAAACACAGTTTCTGATGCTTGTCAGGTCCAGTGTGTGTGTGTGTGTGTGTGTGTGTGTGTGTGTGTAGGTGTAGGTGTGTGTAGGTGTGTGGGTGTGGGTGTGGGTGCACTTTTTCTCACTGGCAGAGAAGAGGTTGTGAACAGCCTGTGTGATGTTGAGTGAGGGCAACTCCAGACACTGGGCCAGGCAGGTGAGGGCATGGCCTTGGACGGTGGGTGATTCATCCATCCGCCGAGCAAACAGCAGGTTCTGGATCAGGAACTTGTGTGGCAGGAAGCAGGAAAGCTCTGGATCTTGACATTCCTCTGTCCTCTCTTGCTGCTCCAGTAAAACCATCACCACATCAATGGAGAACAGTCGGTGGACCATCTAGAGAGGCCAGCACAGCAGACTGTACACACTGGGATCCGACTTACAGGAGATAATGAAGCCTGGCTGATATTCAGACTGATGCTACTCATGGTTTATACTCAGACATTCTATGTCTTTCCACAGGCATGAAACTGTCAAATCTTTTTTTTTTTTTTAAAGCTGCAGTGACAAGGAAAAAGGACACTGCCTGTTAGTCATCATGTCATTTTTACCTGCTTCAACTTGTATTTACTACTTTACTGGAGCCAAAACCTTACTGTTATCTGGAGAGTCTGTGGACAGCATGCACAGAATGAAAGTCCTCGGGATGAAATAAAAATAGACGTAAAAGTAGCTGTCTGTCATACAAATAGTGTATAAAGTATTCGTATCAATAGAGTAGTTCAATATGACAAATTAGAAGAGAAAAAAAGGTTGAATATGAGAAATATATATAATATATTTTTAAATTTATGTTAAAAATCAAAGCACATTTATAGTCTTCTTCTATGTTTCAGTAGCATATTGTTGACAACATTTCCCCACATCACACTTGTAGTCTGGTTGTATAATATAAAACATCCCCTGCTGCCTCTATTGCTTATTATTCACTTCTAATAGAGGAAAAACAAGAACAACCCCAGGTTTATCTTGCTGACAAAGACTCACAGCTCTGTGGAGCCTTGTGTTCCTTTAGCGCTGGTGACTTCATGACCTTCTTCACAAATAAAGTTTTCAATATTAGATAAAAAAAATGATTAACATGTCTTTAGGTGCAGCAGCTCTGGAAGCATCCACAGGACCAGCTTTATATTTAGACTGCTTCTCTGCTGTAAATCTCTCAGAGCTCAGTCAATAGTCAGTTCTTCTAAACCACCATGTTTTTTTTAGATCCCGTCCCAACTAGACTGTTCAAGAACATCTTTCCTTTTATTAACACGACCATATTAGACATTGTCAGCTTCTCTTTATTAGCAATTTACACACCACTGGCTTTTACGGTTACTATAAAGCCTACTCTAGATCCAGGCGTTTTAGCTAACTACAGACACATATCCAACCTGCCTTTCATTTCTAAAATTCTTGAAAAAGTTGTTGCAAGCCAGTTACATGACCATTTGCACAGAAATTTGTTTGAGTTTCAGTTGGGATTTAGAATGCAGTGGACTAGTTTCTATTCTCGTTCTGCTGGATCTCAGTGCTGCACTTGATACAGTGGATCACAGCATCTTATTGCAGAGACTGGAACATGTTGTTGGGATTAAAGGGACAGAAATGTTGCCATCTTTGTTACCTTTGACTGTCTGGAGAATGTAAACAGCCACTTGATGAAGCGGGCGTAGTCTGAATTTGCCATCTGAGACGTCAGCATACCCACAGCCTGGGCGCCATGGCCTCGAAACTCGTTCTTTTCCACCATCTACATATCCACACAGCAGAAACATTACATCACACCTATTATTGCTTTGTAATATAACGGTAAATCTCTTCTATCAATACAGTCATCACCAGCCTTCACAACTCTAAGACAGAAACAGGTACCAGCGGCTGTCTAAACTTCACACAGCAGTAGTTAGTTTAATCTTTACATGCCGCGCATCACTGCTAAGTGTTTGCTGGGGGATTCACCTGGAAGCAGATGTGCTGCAGGAGGATTTGCAGGAAAGGCAGTGCCAGCTCCTTCAGCTCACCCACAAGATGACTGCAATGACATATGCATAAATCATGTGCAAAGTGCTATATCAGGGGTGCCCGATCCTGGTCCTCGAGAGCCCCTATCCAGCATGTTTTAGATGTTTTCCTCTTCCAACACACCTGATTCACATGGTCAGGATGGTTATCAGGCTTCTGCAGAGCTTGATCCTTCCTTTAATTCAGTTTAATGACATCATTTGTTACTCCCCTCATGCCCCGTTTGATGGGTGGCTAAAAACCATCCAACTGGAACATAAAATAAATTGTCCACCTGTTGTTTACCTCAAAACTGTTCTAAATTAGCATGAACTGCTGACCATGTTCCCTTTTTCTGGGCAGCAGGTCATTGGGATTGTGTGATTTTGTTGCCACTATTGTCCCAATGTTGTCTCGTTAATCCCTGTTCCTGAGTCTTTTGTTCTTCACAGATTGTGTCAAATTTTGTCTTGTAAATATCGGTCATAGATACAGAAGTCCAGCTCCAATATGTGGAAAAAAAGCGTAGGATTTTTTTTTATCTGCCAAGACAGAGTTATGTTTTTGTGCATTTGTTTGTCTGTCTTTGAGCAGAATATTCACAAACTAGCCAGTAAATTATATATTTTTTTAAATATGGTGGAAAGGTAAAGCATGACCAAGAGAAGAACCAGTTACATTTTGGTGCAGATTTAGATAACTTAGTTTAAAACTGTATGATAGGGCACTGGACCTGGCAGAGTAGTTTTATTTGGTTTTATGCCAGTCGCACATCAAGTATCTCTTGCTTAAATTTGTATGCCCAAGAGAGGAGAAGCCGTCATAGCAATACTGTATATGGTTTCAAAAATTGTAAACTTTTTAATGTATAATTCTACACTTTGAGTTAACATTTAATTAAAACACAATTGTTTACCAAACAAATTGGATGGTCTGGTGACGTGTAGCAAGGATAGCCTGGTTGGGTGCAAGGAGGGAGGGCTTCCCTCTGTTGCCTTTATTCATCATCAGGATCACGTAGAGAAGCCGGTGGAAAACCCTTCGTAGAGACTAAACAACAGACTCACGTCAGTTTACCTTCACTAAATGATAAATTGTATCCTTGGATTAACTGTGACAAACAGAGGTGATCACAACCACGATTATTGGATCTTACTTCTCTCTGGTCTCCATGTTTTGGTGAGCAAAGCAGCTGTAGGCCATAGAAAGCCATCTCAGGAACACTCCTCAGCTTGGTGACATCTCTGTGCAGGAATGAGACAAACTGTCAGCTTTCATGTCTTGGATACATTCTTTAAGATGACAGAGAAAAGGAAGAAAACTCACTGTACGGCAGCAAAACTTGGCTCGCCAACGATGGGTTCAAAGTAAAGCAGCTTACTAAAGATCTGCAGAGAACAGAGAAAAAGTTTACCTGCTCACACATTACGACAGTCTAGTGTGGTATGAAGTGGGCATGAAGATGGATTCTTAAGTTACCTGAGTGAAATTACTGGCGCTCTGTGGTCGATCTTTAAGTGGAAATGTTTGCAGGAGTCTGAGGAGGCTTTGGACCAGGAAAGTCACAGCATCTCTAATCTTCATCAGGTCCTGGTTAGAGAAATGAAGCTCCTCTTCCTCGTCTTCGTCTTCCCCATCATCGATTTCCATCTAAGGGCAACACATGCAAGCACCAACATGTCTTGACAGTGTCTGCACTGCACTTCCACAAAAGATCAAGGCTCTCTTTTTAAACATTTTTGACTGGTTGCACTGGTGCACCTTCTGTTTTTTTAAATTTACTTATAATAGCAGGCTGCATGGTGGTTTTGTGGCTAGCACCGCCCCTCTCACCCAATAGGGAAAACTTTTTTTTTTTTGCAGATAATGTTAGTATGAAGTCCCACCTTTTGGATGATGCTCCGGCACTGAAGATACTTTGGCCTAAACTTTGGGTTTTTTAACAGTTTTCACTATTGTGTGAGAAGGGCGGTCTTGGCTGACATGATTTGTGTGATAGGAACTAGTCGTAGGAGAACAAAACGTTGACAATAAATTGTCCTTAGGTAGGATAACATTCCCTGAAAATATGACTTGGTTGAATTCTTACAGTAGTACAGCTTTATACTTTTGACCAATTTTTTCGGTGATTTTCGTAAAAAAAAGAAAAAAAAAGAGGGAGCGATCAACTCCCTCTGATTTTGACCACATTTCCTTAAACTTAGACTGAAGTAGTTTTGGATGGACCCCTTCAAACTGGCCAAGTTTCATCGAAATCGGTGAGATGGCTTGTGCCGCCCCTGCCTGGTCCTATCGTGGATCCGCTCTCTTTAAAAAAAAAGTGATTTTATCGACCACAGAGAGACACACACAGACTTGATGGATTTACAAAAAAGTTGTACCCTGTAGCACTAAAAGCCATTTTAACATGATTGTAAACACCTTTGTCTTCATCACTAGAAGTAGGGTAAAGCATTTCAGTATTCTTTGAAAATAAAGTTGCACAAACAAACCTGCTAAACAAATCTAGAACAGATTTTACATGCACTGTAAAATCAGTGTGTGAAAGTCATTACTGTACCTCTGGAGTTTCTTTCCGCTGCGGTTTAGAGCGTTTGCCCTCTGTCTGAGAACTTTTCAGGCTGTCTTTCTTGCGCTTCTTTCCAGAGTCTTGAGGCCAGCAGTGAGAGGTTAAGTCTGAACATGTGTCCAACAAAATTTCATGGAAAACCTTGTTGGCGATGCTTCCTGAAAGAAACAGAGTCATGTCAAGAAACTGCACACACAAGCACAGAACACTTCACTGTGCATACACAATGCTCTCACCCTTATAAAAATGGTCAAAATTAGAGAAATACACTCTGTTTTAGGTGGAGTATGTTACAGCACCCAGCAAGCAACTCAAAGTTGTGCAGAGGCCACGCATAGTGCTGTGTGGACTGGTCCCAGTCACACACTTTGTACCAACACTGAAGTTTCTGTGGGGAGATATTCACTGAATTTAACGAAAAATGTACTCGATTTGCTGACTTCCTATTTAATCAACTACCCAATACAGCAGATAATGATTCACACACAGCAGTTGAGTGATAATACAAGCTATACAGTTTCTACTCATGGTTTAATAGCTCCAAGAACCAAAAAAAAGTGAAATCTTTATGGTAAAGTTTTAACAAAATTAACTTTGTGGCTGAACGTAAACTAAACAAGGATGTTCTTAGGTGTATACTTCTTAGATTTCCACACCTGGGGCTCCCAGCAGTAGCAGGTAGAGTGAGGCAGCGTACAGGCCGTTCACCCTCTGCTGGACGTTGGCCGCTTTGGCTTTTCCGGCCTGGACAAAGACGGATAGCACAGCCACCAGAGACCTGATCGATACCCCGTTCTCCCCCAGAATTGCCCAGATACTCTGCAATGCAACATGGGAGACAGTCAGTGCTTACTGCTGTGACTAGACAGTGGAATGATTAGTGGTTTGGTCTATGAAATGACATAAATTGTTGTAAAATTACAATCAGTGTTTCCCAAAGCCAAAGACGGCATCCTTAACTTTTTTATTTTGCTCACATCCCAAATATATTCAGAGTCACAGAGGAGGTAAGAAATCAGAAAATGTTCACATTGACAAAGCTGTAATCAGGGAATTTAGACTTCTTTTTTTGTTAAAATTTCTCAAATGATTCAAAAATAGTTGATCATTTTAATAGTTGACAACAAATCAATTAATCATTACACCTTTAGTCAGCATGTAAACCAAACAGGCTGATTGTTTCGCTTTCAGGGAGTCACTAGTTTCCGTAAATATAATTACTCTGTCAGATATTTTATTCATGTTATTGGTTTCCCCTTGTTTACAGACACTCTTCGGTAGAGCAAGAAAAAGAGTAACTTCTGTTACCCAATGACACCACCACAGGAAGCAGCAGCCACCGGTCATAAGCCACGGCTCAGTTGGCATAGGGCAAGGTTAATCTGCCTTAATGGGAGACTGGGGCAAAACAATCTATAGGTATAGTTAGGTGCACTGTTTATTAAAAGGGACTAAGGTCCATGTCTAAATTCAAAACCTGAATATATTAGGAAATCATATGTCTCTGTGGTGGATCATTGGCTATCTTTGTTTCCTTGTAAGAAACCTGGTGTGGTCAAAACCAAATGAAATCAGTTCACCTGTGAAGCTCCATTGCTGCCTGTAGACTGTTGCTGGTCAGCAGCATGGGCCAGTATACACTGGTACAGAGATCTGAAGGCTTTGTCTCCACTGGCGGCGAGTTCTTCCTCTATGGCGTTATCAAGTGGTTTCCCTTCTGTGAACTCTAGGTCCCACACTGCCTCTACCCACTCTGGAAAACAAAACAGGAGTCACATTGCCTTAAGTAATACAACACCACAGACAGTACCTTGGAGCTCTGAGTGCACTGCTTTCTGTAGGAATTTAAAAGTTGGTTTTTGCTTGAAGGAGAACATTTGGATTCCTCATTGCCTCACATAAAAGTAAAAACTGTCAGTAAAGGGGATGCCATCACTTGTAGGGAAACATCTAAAACATGCAGGACTGTGGCCCTCGAGGACCAGGATTGGACACCCCTGCTGTAAACTTTCTGCCTCAGAGTCTGTGCGCGTTCACAGAGCAGCGCGTCACGTGACTCTTGTTCTGCCAAAATGGACCAATGGTGTCTCGCCTGTTTCAGTCAACAGGTTGTTATGAAGGAACGCAATGGAATATAAAGATTTGTGACAGTGCGTTATTTCTAAAGCGACTAATATAAATATACGTTTTCTAATCTGTTTTATTAGCTGCAGTATCAGCAGTTCAAATCAGGACCAAACATCAAAACGTATTTATGCGATTTGTCCTCATAAGCTGAGTACACGGTCCCATGGCGATGCAAACAGTGTGCCATACTGTACCCGCACACCTTCGGTTGGCTGTATTAGCAACGCACAGCCCAACATGACTGCAGAGAAAACACAGCTGAGAATCTGTGTCGCTCTTAAGGGATTGTCTGGAAATGTTTTTGGTGAAATGGAAACGGTTCTTGCAGCCGACCAGGTTCGCTCCACAGCATAAGCTACTATGGAGATATCTCAGGTTAGAAGACAGACACCTTCGTGACACTGAAAACTCTGAATTTCGGCTTAATATACAAAGCTGAAGCACTAATGTCTCCCTCTGGGCGGACAACAGGAGACAGCTCCGTTAGCAGGGCGGCGGAAAGTGTCCGACATTATTCAGTCCTCGTTTTTCAATATAATACAAGACGATAGTGTCAAACATACAGAAAACCTCTCGGTCTTACCTTCTGAAATGTCATTTAACTTAAGAAACTGCAGCGCAGATATCAAGTCCATCTTGTTTTGAATCAGCCCGCCAGAAACTGAAGACTTCGCACATGCGCAGTATAATTTTTCTTCTTCTTCTATGGGATTTAATGGCGGTTGGCAAACCAAGTGAAGGTGCATTACTGCCACCAACTGGACTGGAGTGTGGACCAAAAAGTAGGCAGTAAAGAAAAACAAAACAAAACAAACAAACAAACAAACAAAATTGATTCTGTTGCCTAGCTCCGTTTCTCTAATGTACTTAATAATGTAATGTCGAACTTTGCTTGATGAGTGCCCCAAAAGCCCTGTTACTGTAAAGCTGTGATATTTTGCCTTCCTTAACGACAGGTTGAGATTCTTCCTCTGATTATCATATTTTTTGCAGTGAAGTAATACATGTTCAGCTGTTTCTGGCTGGTTACAATGTGTGCAGTTTCCTGTGGGATGTTTACCTATTTTATGTAATGAGTAATTAAGACCTGTGTGACATATTCTCAGACGTGTTATGATGCTTTCTTTCCTACATTTGACCCCCATTTTCCTCCCACCAGGTAGGTAGGTAGGTAGAAATAAAATATATTAAAAAAATAAAAAAATAAAAAAATAAATAAATTAAAGTTAAAATGGTATTGAGAACATCTCTCAAGGATTTAAAAAAAATGTTTCAATAAGAATGAAGATTTTCTCAAAAATCTACACTTATGTAAAAAATATAATATGTAATGACAGCATATTGAAGAAGGAATTGAAGATTTCCTGTGTTTTGAGTTTCTGTATTTAAATATGAGCCTTGCAAAAATATAGAAACATCACATAGACTAGTTTAACTGTTTTAAAATGGACTGTTGCTTTTGGAGGAAACATTAAAATTGTCTTCCAAATTTTTTGAACAATATCAATTTCACGGTCATTTTTCACTCTGAAAACTCAGTGACCTGACACTTCCCAAAGCCTGTAGGAGAACTTGAACAACAGACCTGGCAACAAGATGCTCAGATCTGCTATGCTTTTCCACTGTATCTTACAAATGGTGGCCTGGACCAGAAACAACAGCCACAGTTCAGTAGGTTTACTTGATAATCAAATCAAATCAAGTTTATTGCCATTTTGCTGTACATACACAGGAGTACAGGCAAGATGAGAGAGCGCTTCTTCAGGACCCAATAACTTAAAGCAATTTAAAGAAGTGTTTTGCATATCTGGATCAGCAGTTCAGCATTCTGACAGCTTGTGGAATGAAGCTGTTGATCATTCTGGAGGTTCTTCCTTCAGTGCTCCAGAAATGTTTGCCCGATGGCAGCAGTTCAAACAGTTTTTGGAGAGGGTGTGAGGAGTCCCTGACGGTGTTCAGTGTCCTGCTCCTGTAGCAGCTCTGGAAAAGTTCTCGGACAGAGGTGAGGGAAACTCAGATGCCCCTCTCAGCTCCTCTAACTATCCTCTGCAGGGCTTTTCTGTCTGACATACTGCAGCTGGAGGACCATGGTGAGATGCAATGTGTCAGAACGCTCTTCATCACACCTCTGTAAAAGTCCTGACGATGCTAGCAGGGAGAGAGGCTTGTTTCCAGTTCCTTAGGAAATGCAGTCTCTGCTGGGATTGTTTGATGATTGCTGCAGTGTTTTTGTTGCAGCTCAGGTCCTGTGAGATTTGCAGGAGGAGGGCTGTATATTTTTAAATTCTATGAATTTGTTTTTGTTTGTTTTTGCCTTTTCTACATTTATACTCTCTGCAGCTTTCAGGAAATGCCTCAAACAAATTAGTTTTTATATAGTATCCTTCAAATTTGTGAAAAGACAAGGTGTTCATGGTTGTCAGTTTCACAATTTTATTAAAACTATGAAACAAACTTTGAGCACAGGAAAAGGTGGGGGGACGGGGTTGGAGGTACTAATTTGATGATTCAACAAGCTCCATCTGTCAGCATGTCCATCTCTTTCTCCATGGCCTCCCAGTTATTCTCCAGGGTGTATGTGGCCCATTTATTGAGCCTGCTGTACAGAGGAACCCCATTTTTTTCCCTGTAGAGATAGACTCCTGTTACTCTGTTCCAGTTGGTGCTGCAGATTGGATTAGCAGTTTGGTGCTCCGCCAACTGCTCCTTGTCTTCCTTGTCCAGTGCCACGAAACCAAAGAAACTCTTAACATTCTCTGCAGCCAGGAGGCGGGCGTGGACTGCTGCAGTGCGTTCAAACAGGGACTTTTCATTCGAGCGGTACTGGGACCAGTAGTTCTCCTGCCGGTAGCCAAGTGGGGAGGAGCAGCCTTTCATGCAGAGCATTAGGAACACAGTCAGAGACAATCCTGCCACCAGCACCCAGCCTGTCAGCTGAAAACAAAAGACAATCATGTTAACAACTTGTGCAAGTATGAAGGCACTGGATCAGTCACACTTGGGTGTGGTATTTATATATTAATCCCTTTGTCTGTTCGACCTGTTATTTTTGGCAAAAAAAAAAAAAACATCTTTCAGCCATTACCAGTGATGTGTGACAGGTTACCACTTGTTTCCTTTTCAATCCAGGTCAGTAACACGACCAATACTTGTGTAAAAAAGCTTAAATAATATATACTCAATATTGCTATACTCATTTAATTTCCCAGGGATCTAGAGAGGTGTTGCTCTTGGAGAATCTTGGAGAATCACCAGACAGCAAAACCAGGCAAACAGACAAAAGCTCATTTTCTCTTCTTTCAGAGACCGTTTGAATTTTCTGTCTGGCACAAGAGAAAAACCGAACCAGAAAGTATTAAATATGATCACTGCAGTGTATACGGCATCTGGACGATTGTTTTAATTTTGTTTCATTTTTGGATGCCTATTAAGAAACTAATAGCTACTGTATATGTTACTGTCAAAGCTGACTGACTGGTAGGGGTCATCCAGATGTGTACTTCAAAAGTTTATTTAAAACAGGAATAAAGTTTTTTTAGTCTCGTAAAAATCCTCCAATTAAACAAACAAACCCAGTGTGATTTAACTAGTTAAGTCAGGGGTGTCAAACATACGGCCCGTGGGCCAAAGCCGGCCCACCACAGGGTCCAGTCCGGCCCGCTGGATGACTTTTCGGTGTTCCTTCATAGTTCCCACTTAAGTTTGTATAGTGTGGTGTGTCAGTTCAGTTCACAAAGATGTGAAAATTAATGTGAATTTAAAGTAATTTCTAGATCTTGACAAGTTGTTTTGATCAAAAAACAGAATCCTATATTGTTCAGATACCTGTGACTAAATGTTTTGTGCCTTTGCAGAAACGCTGTGACCTTTAAGTTGTAATGCACGTTTGTAAATGATAAACTGAAGCATAATATTGTTAAAACTACACTTATTTTTCTTAAGAAATTTAATTGCACTGAAAGAAAGGGAAACATTTGTTGATATTTATAGGCTATTACGCTGTGATTTTACTGGTCCGGCCCACATGAGATCAAATTTGAGTGTATGTGACCCCTGAACTAAAATGAGTTTGACACCCCTGAGTTAAGTCCTGACCTCAGGGACTTCAAAGAAGTCAGTGATGGCAGGAGGGGGAACAGCAAAATAAAAAACAAAGAATTAAGTCATACCTGAGATTCGTATTTTAGTGTCCGCTCAATTTCTACCCAGAAGTGTTGCAGCTCCGTTGGAACACTTCCTTCACATGGGAGTTTCGCCATGACATCTGACCCCTGACCTGAGGGGAAGCCCTGCAGAGTACTTGCATTAACAAACTCACTGAGGGCACAAGTGTAGGCTTGACCCTGCAGCAGAGAGATAACCACCCATGTTAGTGGAGCCACCACAGCTCGACCGATGATGGTTCCCAGCAGCGCAAAACCAGCAGCCGCCGACAGCTTCCGTAGCTTTCTAAGCCGACACTCAGACACCAGGTCCCAGGTGCTCTTGTTCATCATTATCCCTACAAGGAAAAATGCAAGTGCTGGAGCGCCAATGGCAGCCAGGCCGTAGCGATAGTTCCTACCAGAGGAACACGGACAGTGAAAGGCGAAAACGTTGTATGCAGTCTGGCTGGCCACAGTGCCCAGAGCAATCAGACCATTGAAGATCATCACATCTTTACTCTTGAAGAAGAGGGACACAAACTTAAAGTTCTCGGTGACGAGTGCAGCAGCAGCCATGTCGAGATGACGGGTCTTTATGGGGATTACACTGAAGAGCGGTGAATTTTCTAGCAATGTCAGGCTGCAGAGACAAAGAGAGAAAGAGAGAGAGAGAAAGATTTTGTCAATGTGTTCAGTTTGGTAGGTTTCACACTTAAGAAGATGAAGATTCCAGACACAAAAGAGGCCCAAAACACTTAAATTAACGATTTTGAAAAAGATTTATCATGCCACGGACTAAAAACAAAAAGTAACGCTGAGTACAGACGTGTTAACTCACGCTTTGGCAGCATCCTGCGACAGGGCATGTGACTGAGCTTTTATAATCCAATAAAAATACCTAGAGCAGCGACATCACAGGAAGAACTTGAGAAATATGTAGATTCCAAAACATCAGATTAATTTCTTCACAAACTTAATAAAAAAGACTGAAAAGAGAAGATCTTCTTTTTGCGTGCAGCTTTGAGTCTGTGTTCGCTGCCCGAGTGAGAGATGACTCACAGTCAGGAAGTGCCCTCAGCAGTGGAAAAAAAAAAATCTGTGGTCTCTGAGTGAAAACATGTGTTGCTCACAGAACAGTACGGGGCAAAACAGAGGAAGCTCAGATACTGAGAGCATGATCATAGTTAAAGACAACACAATCAGCCCGTTAACCGGCCTAAGGTTGAGGAATGTGACTGATTCAGGTTATGGTTTATGCAGAGTTTCAGTAAAAGTTTTGGAAAGATGTTGTAAGATATATGAAGATGAAAGAAATACATGCAGAAACATTAAGAAATGAAGGTACATGCCTAGACTGCTATAATATGGACAGCCTGTGACCAAAAGAGCAGCCAAAAGTATCAATAGGCTAATTTTAGGTTGCCTTCTAGTTTACCTTTACCTTTAGTCAAAACACAACACAATTGAATATGTTTTGGAAAAATGTCGGTTATCCCTCAGCAGAGTTCCATAAGAAGCACTGAAGCTTTTTCTGGTTCAAAGCTGTGGTAGGCAGAAATCTGAAAAAAAGCAAAAGCAATCCTCTTGAAGTTCCCTGCTCTCTCTCTGAAGCCTCTCTCACCAGGCACACATGGGTGTATACATAGGCTTCTCCATTTTCCGTTCTTGTGGACCATGTTCATGGATAAAATATCATGAAAACGTGACGCAAACCGGGGATCTTGTAGCTGTGAGGCGACGGTGCTAATCGCCGAGCCACATGCAGACCAATCCAAAAACAGAATCCCAGAATATAACACTGAAGAAAAGAAAACACACAGAAAACACAAACCTGAAAGTACATGAAGCATAAACACGTGACGCACGAGACACAGATGAAATTCATGAGGGCAATCAAAAGAGGAAGAGAACAAACAAAGGGAAGAAGTAAAAACACCAGCAGCACCAACACCTTGCAGTCCTACATTAAATATCTAACAATTTTATTTAATACATCCATCCATCCATTATCTATACACCGCTTAATCCTCACTAGGACCATGGGGGGCTGGAGTCTATCCCAGCTGACTCAGGGCAAAGGCAGAGGACACCCTGGACAGGTCACCAGTCTATCACAGGGCTACACTTAGAGACAGACAACCAAGCACACTCACATTCACACCTACGGACAATTTAGAATCACCAATTAACCTCAACATGTTTTTGGACTGTGTGGGAGGAAGCCGGAGAACCCGGAGAGAACCCACGCTGCACGGGGAGAACATGGAGACTCCACACAGGGTGTCCTCACCAGACCTTCTTGCTGCGAGGCAACAGTGCTGCCAACTGCGCCACCTTGCAGCCCAAATGTTCAACCAGTGCCGTTAATTTCACTTAGATCTGAGAAAAAAGTTGAGTGATATTGTCAGAATCCCCTCTTCAGCCTCAGACCCTGCCTAGCCTGCTTTCCCCTTCCTTCTCTCTGCCTTTCTTTCTCCCCCTCGCTCAGCCTTGCTCACACTTTCTCCCTCTTGCTTGATTGTAGGGATTGGAGACTGTGGGGATCGGCTCACCTGCCAATTATCCATACCTGTAAAAGCCCGGTTCATTCCTCCACCCCCTCATTCTGTCTTCATTCTCTACTTGTTTAAGTTAAATTCCTTTGTCTAATAAATCCCTTTCATAAACTTGACCTGTCTCTGCCTGCTTCTGTGTCTGCACCTGGGTTCCCAGCACCCACCGAGGCAGATATCTGTCATTATGGGACAGTGTCAGACCTGAATGCACTTCAATGCAATATGTTGAAAGTTTAACTTTAATGTTTAGCTGTAAGTTCGCTGTAAGGTGGCTGCATTGATTAGTGAAATAAGCCGACTCAGGAACAGTCTTTGTGTCTGAGGAATGTGACTGAGACCTTGGGATGACCTTCACAGACAAAGGAGCAGGCTTGGGAACGGATAAGACATGAACTGACTCAGAAACCATCAAGAGTGTCACCCAAATCCCAAAGTTCATCAGCCAGTTTCTTCTGTCACAGATTGGTGAGGAAAAGACCCAAATGCAGATGCAGCAGACAAATGGAAATAACAAACAAACAAACAAACAAACAATAATTAAACTTACACAAAAAGTGATGAACAGGCTGGCGGGGAGTAAACAAAGAGCGGCTGGTGATCCAGGTAAAGGCCACTGAAAGTCCAAGAAATAACTAAAAAAATCCAAAAACAGAATCCCAAAATAAAATATATATAGATGTAAAAAACTATACACACGCCAAAAACACAAACCTGAAAGTAGATGAAGCGTCAGCACATGTGACACACGACACACAGATAAAATTCATAAGGGCAATCAAAAGAGGAAGGAAACAAACAAAGGGAAGAAGTAAAAACACCAGCAGCACACATGGAAAGGGGATCTCAAAATAAAAACTGAAAATAAACACAAAAACTAAAGACTGTTCACACCAAAGACATCATATTTTATTTCCTCTTTATGCACATACATTCTGTCATTTCTCAGACCTGAGAAATATCTTCTAGATCAAAATAATTTATTTCGAGGAAAATGCTTTACATGGAAGTTAAATTACTTACTTGGACCATAAAAGTTTTTTTCACTTTCTGACCTGGAGTTAAGTTTTTTGTCTTGCACCTTAAAAAGGTTTCAATGCATGTGTGCACATTGGGAACCTCTCTAGCAAAAGAGCTGTAAAAACAACACTGACAACCAGTATCATCACCTTAGAAAATGTACATGGTAAATATATTTGCAAAAAGCTGCTTATTAACACATCCATCCAAAACTTTATCATATTTGAGGTTTAGGTCCCCTTGATGAGTAGTTCTCTCTTTGCTCAGTCTTTGGTCTTTAACACTTCCCGAGGCTCTTGAGCTGGTAAATGTTCACCAGCTAGTCTCTTAACTGTGCATGCTTTCTGTTTGCTGCTGTGCAGGTTGGTACTCAGAGTACAAGAGACCAGCTTGATGAGAGTGATGTTTGTGGCCTAGAGAACAAAACAATCTGCAATAAACTGCTGAAATGCTCCATAGCACAGAGTGGTAGTGCAGAGTTGGTGGTAATTGTCTGTGGATTTGTATCTATGAGCAATACCTCAGTCATTTTGTACATTGTGAAACTATATACGAGTGCAACTTTACAACAAATTAAATAGAATTAAGTAGAAAACAGAGTCTCTGTGCCACTTTACTTGATGCAAAAGGTCTATTTGCATGTTTTCATCAGTCTGTGTGCGTGAGCTCCATGTCAGAAAGCTGCATGCAAAACTAACCCAACCACACCCTAAAGTATTCAAATGACTGTCACAGCATGTTTTGATTCTAAGAGGAACCTTTTCCCTCTGTCTCTCTTCTCTAACTCTTGTCACTTTTACAATATACTTCACTTGCTCTGGAAACAAATATATTTAATATGTGCTTATTGTCATTAACAAAAACACAAACCCGTGCACACTTAGTAAAACACGCCATATTGTCTTTTGTTATTACACTTTGATGCCTCTCAGGCATTCAGTATAAGATATCTAGTGGTCCTCACTGCTATGAATGTTGTCCACAGACTTTCTCAGTGACCCAAACCTCGATGCTGTAACAAGTTCTGATCTGCTGTTCATAGACAGCACTAAAAAACATCTCTCTCTCATTATTCTGGCATTTAGCAAATAGAAATAATTTTGGTAATCCTAACTGACTTAAAACAGTAAAAGTTTAGTCTGATTTAATGTCAGCCAGTGAGAGAAAAAAAAAAGGTTCTATGTCTTTTTATGTAGTGTATGAAACTTCTGGTTTCAACTATAGCAGCTGAGTGGAACTTGCTCAGTACCTGTTGATATTAGATGACATTACACCCAGTTCTAGCATTTAGGTCCAGTGTAGAAAGTTGTGTCTTTATATAGGGAGTTAGAAAGTCAGGGTGAGCAGGTCAGGCTGGTGAGGTAACCATGATCTTTTTCTAAACGTAACCACACCACAGGTACCATGTGAATATTGGAGGAAGTGAACATTTTTTGAATTCAAGCACTTTACTTGTAAAGTAGCAGTGTAGTAATTACATTAACAATTAACAGCATACACTGTAGATCAAAAATCAATAAGCAGAAGTCAGTGGATGGTCACAGAAAGATCCAGGGTGACACTTACATCTGACACCCGACGCCATGATTGAGCAGAGGTTATCATCTCCAACCATAGTTAACCATCAGTTTACAGATAGCAAAACTTTTTACTTCAGTCCTGCACCAACTGCACTTGCTGAAGGAAGATGGTGAAACGCAGTTGAAAGCTATGAATCATTACAAAGTGGACAATATATCTATCCTGCATCTGTTAAAGATTAATGATTCATGATGCAGCTACACACTGTTGAGGGTGTTTTAGACATCTGAGTATAAAGTCTTCCCCTCGTGGTTCTTCCACGAAACACATGTCTTGGGTCTGTGGGCAATCCTGGTGACATCCAGGTCAGGTTTACTATAGTACCACTTGTTAAGCAGCTGGTCCACCTGCTCCTGTTTTGTTATTCCATGGAGTCTCTCCTCTTCTTCCTCCTCCCACTCCTCTCTGACGTTGGTGATGAAGTGTGGGTGGGGAAGATGGAGTACAGTGTCCTCCCTCATATCCTCAAAGAACTGTATCACGCATTTCCGGGCAAAGTCGCGAGCGTGCAGGACGCAGGTTTCATCAAAGAGCTTTTGCTCCACATCAAGGTAATTGCTCCAGTAGCGAGTCTGCAGGAAGATGGCATGGTTGTCGATGCAGGGCTTGATAAGGCGCCCCATTGCTCCCAGCACAATCAGGAACAGGAGGATGGACCAGCCAACAGCCTAGACAGGGCAAGGAAAGTGAGCTATGCAAAGCCAACAAAAGCTATCAGTCAGTAGCTGTTCTACCACATGTGAATGCTATGTGTGCAAACACCTCACAATGGCCTGATCAGCTGACTAGTAGGACAACAGTTCTGTTATGAATGGCCCCAACATTAGAGTTTTGTTGTAGGTTCAGAGCTGAGGGCAAGCACGATGTACAGTATATCATGTTTGTGTTTTCTCCAACTTTTGTCCTCTTGTGCACAACTTTGAAATTTAAGACCTTCCTGGATCATTATAGAATAATTCTGATTCATTTAAATTTATTTTCATTGCATGGCTATTGGTTATATCAGTTATAACAGCTTTGAAACACCAACTTAAAGGACGTTTCCCCCCATGTCATATCCATATCCACATGCCCATATTTTGTCCAGAAGAGTTGCTCATAATGCCTACGAAGAGATTCCTTCCTGAAGTAATGTCAGTGTAAGCGATGGGTGCCAAAATGCAGCCACTGTTTTATGCAAAAACACAATTCAAAATGTTAACCTTACGAGTCAGAATTAGCAAAGAATTCCCTCTGTGAGTTTCTACATAGAGATGAAACAGCTATACCACTTCATGTGGCGGTGACACTGAAACTAAGATTAACTGACCGGTAACTATTCACCCCTCATTGCCAAAGTGTGGTACTATGCAATAAACTACAGTAAGCAGAAGGTGTGTTTGACTTTTGTATTGCTTAGTCTTCATAAAATGTGTTTGTATGTATGTAGAAACTGTGGTAGTTACCTGTGAATAGCAGCGAACATACCGAGAGACTGCTTTGTGGAAAGAGTTGTTCTTGAAGATAACATCCTCCTTGCAAGGTACTTTGGCCATAATTTTGACCACATCTAGACCTGTGTTGTTGGGCAAGCCTGAGGAAACATACTGCATGATATATCACAGGAGCCAGTAATGTACTAAACTGTAGATTGTAGAAAGAAAACTCATTAAATATGTAATTGTTTAGATAGAGTGAGTGTGTTCACAGATACCTGAGAAGAGTGCAGGGTCTACACTCACACTGAAGGCACAGATGAAGATCTTTCCATCCAACAAAGTCACCAGGATCCAAACCATTGGTGCCAGCAGTGCCCTCTGGATCATGGCAGAAAACAGGTACCTGCAAGAACAATACGGGATCGAAATTCAGAATCATGCTTTGTGCAGCCTGAACCCTCAAATTTCTCATCATAGTCTCCTGCTACATAAAGTATGATGGGAACAAGGTAGCATAACAGTGTCAGCAGTATGTAGTGTATTCAGAAAGCATTCCAACATCTTAGCATTATGGTTTGTTGTGACTTTACGCTAAAATACACTGCTCAAAAAAATAAAGCAAACACCTAAACAACACAATGCAAGTCCAAGTCAGTCACACTTCTGTGAAATCAACCCGTCCAGTTAGGAAGCAACACTGATTGTGAATCTATTTCACCTGCTGTTGTGCAAATGGAACAGACAACAGGTGGAGATTAGAGGCAGTTAGCAGGAGAATCCCATAAAGGAGTGGATCTGTAGGTGGTGACCACAGACCATGTCTCTGTTCTTGTCCTTTCTGGCTGCTGTTTTGGTCACTTTTGCATTTTGTCAGTGTTCTCACTCCTAGAGGTAGCATGAGGTGGTGTCTACAACCCACACAAGTTGCTCAGGTAGTGCAGCTCATCCAGGATGGCACATCAATGCATGCTGTGGCAAGAAGGTTTGCTGTATCTCTCAGCACAGTGTCCAGAGCATGAAGGAGATACCAGGAGACAGATCAGTACACCAGGAGATGTGGAGGAGGCCGTAGGAGGGCAACAACCCAGCAGCCAGCAGGATGCTACCTCCTCCTGTGTGCAAGGAGGAACTGGAGGAAAATGACCTCCAGGCCACTAATATGCATGTTCCTGCTCATAAACTGTCAGAAACAGACTCCATGAAGGTGGTATGAGGGCCCAATGTCCATCAGTGGGGCTTGTGCTTGCAACCCAACACCATGCAGGGCGACTGGCATTTGCCAGAGAACACCAAGACTGGCAGATTGACAGATTGGCCTTTGGCTCTTCACGGATGAGAGCAGGTTCACACTGAGCACATGTGACAGACATGACAGTCTGGAGACGCTGTTGAGAATGTTCTGCTGCCTCCTCCACCAGCATGACCAGTTTGGTGGTGGGTCAGTAATGGTGTGGGGAGGCATTTCTTTGGAAGGCCGCACAGCCCTCCATGGGCTAGCCAGAGGTACCCTGACTGCCATTAGGTACCAGGATGATATCCTCAGACCCACTGTGAGACTGTATGCTGGTGCAGTGGTCCCTGGGTTCCTTCTGATGCATGACAACGCTAGGCAGTGTGTGTCAGCAGCTCCTGCATGATGAAGGCATTGATGTTATGGACTGGCCTACCCGTTCCCCAGACCTCAATCCAACTGAGCACATCTGGGACATCATGTCTCGTTCCATGATGGGCTGCATGGTGGCTCAGTGGTTAGCACCTCTATAGGTTCCACCCCCCCACCCCCATGACCCTACAGAGGACTAAGCAGTACATAGATACTGGATGGATGGAAGTAAGTTAATGTTTAGACTCCACAGACTCACTACATCTTTAATAGGATTGAACTAGAATAAGGAAAAAATTATGGAAGATAATAGAGAGAGACTCAACAACTTCTAAATAGTTCCCTTCAAACTAGGGCTTTGGTGAACATAGAAAGAAAAGCTTCCCCACTCAAATATCAAAGTAGGAACTGTTTGTTGACTGACTGTGTGTTTCTGTTATCCAGTAAATCTTTCACTTACTTAACCACAGCAGGATTTTTGGATCTGTTCCCAATGGGTCTCATCCACTCGTCCATCATGACACCCGTATGTCGGTTGACGAGGACCCCCAGAAAGAACAATATAATCGGAGGGACAATCATCACTCCTAGAGAGTACAGTTTGTTGTACTGAGGCAGGCATGGGCAGTTAAAGTCAAAGCTGGTGTAGAGTTTGACGCTGACCAGGGCCAAAATGATACAGATTCCATTGGAGATGGACTCAGAGTTGGACTGGAAGTACTGCAGGACTAACTTGAGACGCTCCATAGCTTAGATGATCTGTAGGCAATGGTCAAGGTGGAAGTACAGACAGTGAGGTGATTCAACGGCTCCTGGGTATTACAGGGTCAGAAAACTTTATTGATCTTTGCAAGGATGTTTTTAATGAATCAAGCATTCAACCGAATATAGGTCCAGTATTAATTCATAGAGTTACAAAATGTTTTAGACTCTGTAAAAATATTATAAACCTACCTCACAATATGAACAAATCCTTTGTGAAGAAAAGTCATAAATCCACAATTTAGCAGTCTGAGTAAATCACTTAGAGAGATAATACTTGCAGAGCAAGTCCAGCAGTGAGCCACAGTCAGTCAGAGAGTGCATGAATACACCCGAGCAGCTGACAGGTAACGTGGACACACCCTGTCTCAGTGTTAAAGCAGCACTCCCACTCATCAAAGGTTCACAGAATAGAAAATGAGCCACAGCATCAAAGCATATGGGATTGTACAGCACATGAAGCACCATTGTTGTGGTCACCAGGAAAGCTGATATTAAAGCATAATCCCTTATTATTGTGAATTATGACCAGTCAGACCATCAGATCAACTGTAATCAAGCAAGAACTTTATTCAATGTCCACCAGAAATTTAGAGCAGTGTTTCCAACCTTTGCAGTTGTTTTAGTTACCTTAGTTTGTGTGTACTGTGTTCTCAATTGCAAACACAATCCCTATCCCCATTGCACAAGCACCCATGTTCTACTACTTTCATGTTTACAAAAACAGATGTTGCTGCAAGAGTTTCTGTCACTACAGATTAGTGTTCTTTAAATCACACCATCTTATGTTACCTGACCCAGTATCACCTAAAAGCCCCCTTTCATCATTTATATTCACGACAGAAGAAGACGGTAACACAAGGTTAGAAACGTAACCTTTATTGAACATTTAGTCAAAAATGAGACACTCAAACAGAAAGACTTGAAGTGAGGACGTGCTGTGAACGCTTCCCTTTTCATGCATCACACCTCCACAACCAGCAGATGGAGCTCTTTGATCGGGTCAAATGCTTCGACGCAAAGTGTCGCTTTCAGGCAGCTGAGTCAAATTAACTCGATGTTTCACGACGAGGCCTCTTGTTTGCCATCCCTCGCTGCAGGTTTGGTTTAAGTTGAGCTAAAAAACGACAGCACCAAAGTTATATAGAACTACTGCTATGGTCAGAGGAACTGACCTGAACCTGCAGGAACCACATGAGCCAGAGAACCGGACCCAGAATGACCCGGCAGACTTTAATGTTCTTCCTGGTTGAACCAGTGGAACACGACGGGTCGAGAAGAAACACAAACACCGACACGAAGCAGAACTGAACAGCACCATCAGGTTCTGAAGGCTAAACAAACGCATCAGATACGTTTTTTAAAAATCTAAATACTCAGTAGAAGTTAATGAATGGCGAGATATTTAACTTTACTGCCTTAAACACGTTATTGTGTCTCTGATGTTTATTTTAGATTTAAGTGATTCGTTCAGATTCTCATTAACTTCCATTTCATCAGAACCTTCATTGTATTGAGAAAAAACACCTTTAATGTTGGACAGATTGACGTCAGACTGAGAAAACATTTACTCATATTTTAGTCATTTAACTGAAAATAAAGCACATCTGTCATTTAAAAGAAATCACTTTAGTTTTTCTCTGAAGTGTCCAGATGTGAACATGGATGAAGCCGAAGCGTGTTTCTGCATTGGACCACCAGGTGGAGACAAAGTTCTGTTCAGTCACTCGTTTCACTGTTTTTTTCTCAGTCGGTGAATAAAAGTCAGATTTATCCAGAGATGGTGGAAAACGCTTCAGCCACAAAGAAACTCTGTTGATTGTAACATGCAGGTTTTGACAAGGTTAAATGAAAATCTACTTTTCTGATGCATAAAAAATAGATTTTTACTGGTTTTCTGTGTGTCGACCACATCTGCATTTATGAAAATGAAAAATGAATGAAATGAAAAATACTTTATTTATCCCAGAAGGGAAATTCAATAATCAATTTACACACACACACACACACACACACATTACACTTTTTATTTCATCCACAGCTGTGCAGGTTTGAACAGCATCAGTTTGTGTCGATCTGCAGACAAACTGATTCAACTGGACTCCGACTGTTTCAGATTCTCCACAACAGACTGTTGGAAAAGAAAAAGTGCCAAAAAGCTCCCGTGTGTCGTTGTTGTGTAGTTGTTGTGTAGCTGTGTTGTTGTTGTGTAGTTGTATAGTTGTTGTGTGGTTGTGTAATTATGTTGTTGTGTTGTTATGCTGTTATGTAGTTGTGTTATGTAGTGTTGTAGTTGTGTTGTAGATGTTGTGTTGTTGTGTAGTTGTTTTTTGTAGTTGTGTAGTTACGTAGTTGTGTAGTTGTATTGTGAATAGAATAGAATAGAATAGAATAGAATAGAACAGAATAGAATAGAACTTTATTGATCCCTTTGGTGGAAACCTCAGGGAAATTGTTGAATTGTAGTGTTGTGGTTGTTGTGTAGTTGCGTAGTTGTTGTGTGGTTTGTAGTTGTTGTGTAGTTGTTGTGTACTTTTGTTGTGTAGTTGTTGTGTAGTTGTTTTTGTGTTGTGGTAGTAGTTGTTGTTGTGTAGTTGTGTCGTGTAGTTGTGTCTCTAACTGGTCCCTCTTATTCGTCATATAAATATAAATATATATGAGTTCTGGTTGTGGAGGTTACTGGAGTTCAGAACTTCTGGACCAGAACCAGCGCCGACATAAAGCTTAAAAGAGCAACACATCGAATAACTCAACACATATTGTCCATTATTATTGTTGTTGTTGTTTGATGTGTTTAGGGCTGAAAGTTGGTAAATAATGTTCAAACTTTTACAGATTTTCTTTGTTTTGTTAAATTATAGATAAAATCAAGTAAAGTCTCAGAAGAAAGTATGAATGTACATGTTAACAGTAGAAATGGTGAATAATGCTGTTTTTAAAGCAGTAATTTGTTCTTTGACTGTAGAATTCCTATTATTATTGTTCCTGTTGTTGTTGTTCTTGTTATGATGATGATGATGATGATGATGATGATGATGAGGATGAGGATGAGGATGATGATTATTATGATGGTTAAAGCAGCTCAGAACGTGTTCCTGTGGTTCTGAGTGTTCCTTCAGACCCGTCGACCTGCTGCAGCTCCTGTTTCATCTCAGCTCTTCTGCTGCAGCAGCAGCTGCACATCTGGAACCACTAACATCCCATAATACTCCACTGGGAGACTTCACGCTTTCACCAATAAAACACCTTCAGGCTGCAGTTTAATGTCTCGTGTCACTGCTGCACGAAATAATCTGGAAAAGAACCAAAAATCTGGAAGCAAAAATGTCTTCAAGTCGGTCGGGTAACATTAAAACCACTGGAATAACAGCGAATATCTGATTTAAATACAGTAAAACACAATAAAATTTAACAGTCACACTGTAGAAGGACAAATTACTATTAATATAAAAAATGTTTACCTGCAAATTATTTAAAGTTTTGTCCTGTTTTTATAGTCAACATGTAAATTTAATTCTTTTTCCTGTAATTTTACTGGAAATTATCAGTAAATAAACAAAACAAAAATCTGAAGAATACCAGAAATAATTTAAAATATTTTCCAATTTGTTTATCACAAGAGAGAATTACACATCAGTCTTCAGACATTTTGGCAGAACACTAAAAATGTCTTCTGTTTTCAGACGAGAAGATTATTTAGTTTGGTGCTGCGTTCAAAAACAACAACAACAAAACACGAACACAACAGTTTGCATCAACTTCAGACAACTTTGGAAGAATTTATGTTCAACCAACAAACTACACTGAGTTAAAGGATTAACTTTTCCCTTTGCAGGTATTTTTATTTTTTCATGATTGGTAGCATAAACACAAGTTGTTGATTGTTTGTTAAAAACAAACAAACAACTAGTATGTCCATGTTTTTTTTATTTTTTTAAATAAATGTTTAAGTGTTTCATGATTAACCACCATAAATATGAGCACACGACTAGTTTTAAAGTCTGACCTCAAGGTGAAGAAATATTCAGTTATCAAGATAAACTAATTAAGTTAACTCACCTTGAATCCAGCTTTAAATCAACTGACGCAGAAATTAAAGTTAAATTTACAGAACATACTGTATGATGTTGATGCAACGTAATTATGCAAACCATTAAATAACGTTTGACACTTTAAAAGTTTATCTGAATCAATAAATGTTTTTTTGTTTTGTTTTGTTTCTTCTTTAAAAAATTTATTTGATTAAATGATGGGAACAATGTTTTAGAGTTAAAATTATTATTAGTTTTGAAATTTTCGACTTTAAAGGAGGAAAATTTTGATTTTTCTTGACTCTTTGGCGATTTTATTCCTCACTTGTTTAAAATCATAAAAACACCAAACTGATATTAATTCATCTTCATTAAGTCCCAAAGAGTTAAAACAACAACCAACCAACCAACCAACCAACTAAACAAACAAACAAACAAACACCACCCTCAGACGTCAGAAACATGTTTGAGTGTTTATTTTAATTCTACACTTACAAAAAAGTTGTCAGGTAATAAAAAGTAGTTTTGTTTTTTGTTTTTTTTTACACCATAAAAACAATATAGAAAACATCGTGTTCACCAAAACGAATTGTACAGTTTGTCGTTTTCAGAGAATCAAGGCACACGTTGCTCCGTCGGACGTATTTACACCAGAAACATGTGACACGTGTTTTACTGTGTATGTACATGAACAGTCACCATGACGACAACATTCACTCATTCATGCAGCAAACACCGTCGCTGCTTCAAATCACTTCTTCTGTTTCTTCTTCTTCTTCTTCTTGTTTTTTTTCTTTTTTTACAGCGATAAAGGTTCCGTCAAGTTTTTAACCCTTTAAATACAGTAATTTAGGCAAAAATAATCATAAACAAGAGAAAAACACTATTAGGCACATTTTCTTCTTTTTTTTTTTTTCACTAAATCCTTCATTAGAACATCTGGATGAACACATG